ACGAACGTTTCGAGAATAGCTAGCCTGGTAATAATAGAGCCTGGTTCAGGCAAACTAAAGGTTGATGTTATGAGCACCTACCGTAATAGGACACGCATCGATCAAATTACCGCCACACTCAAAATGTATATATTAGTTTTGTTTGCATTATATAGCCATGTTCAAAATATAGCGTGGAGACCTGGAAATAATAAGCCTGCCCAGCCAAACTAAAGGTTGATATTATGAGCACCTACCGTCATAGGCCACGCATCGATCAAATAAAAACAAAAGTAGTGTTAATGTTAGTTGTGGTAGCAGTAGCACCAGTGATCGTAGTATCAGTAGTACTTTAGTATTTATACAATTAACAATAACTACTACTAGTAGTAGTAGTGGTAGTAGTAGTAGTAGTAATAGTAGTAGTAGTAGCTGTAGTTGTGGTAGTAGTTGAAAGGGGGGGGGAGAGTGAGTAAGTGTGATTTTACGTCGTGTTTAGCAATATTCTAGCAATATCACTACTGTCGACGCATGTGGAGAATCGAACCCGGGTCTTAGCTTGACGAGCGGACGCTTTAACCATCAAGCTACTCCCACCGCCCCAAGAGGAGGAAGAGGAACAGCAGCAGCAGAAAACGAAGTAGTAGTCATCAAAGATGTTACTGGTACAAGTATTGTCCGCAGGTGACCACGTCAACCCCTTTCAGTTTCAGAGAACTCCACCACTCCTTCAGCATGGATGTTCCCTTCGAAGATTTTTACCTTTGTCCTGCAAGGGCAAGGGTAGATGAAATAACATTGCAGTTAAACCGGGGAGTCAGCTTTGTGTTGAAGAAAACCCCAAACAGGACGTGGAACATATATATAGACGTTCCCAGTTTAATGAAACCCATTAGTACGTGTTTGATGTTGACTGACCAAGGATCATCATGATTCGGGTATACTAGTAGTTAAAGGAGACAACTCAACAGTCTGCACCACTAGAGTGAGTGAGTTTAGTTTTACGCCGCACTCAGCTTTTTTTTTCAGCTATATGGCGGCGGGCTGTAAATAATCGAGTCTGGACCAGACAATCCAGTGATCAACAGCATCAGCATCGATCAACGCAGTTTGGATACGATGACTCAGCGAGCCTGACGACCCAATCCCGTTAGTCGCCTATTACGACAAGCATGGGTTGCTGAAGATCAATTCTACCCCGGATCTTCACACGTCAGTAAGAAACAGTGAATCTACAGGTAACAGTCGTTGTGATGCTATGCCTGCACCCGTTGTGTTGTAATGATGTTTGTGTAAATGTAGTAATCTATAAAAGTACTCTTCGACGTCCACACATAGACATAAAGCAAGACCTAGGAACAAAGTCCCCCTGATTCATCTGATCCTAGCGTCAACACATACCAGCTGGAACGGGTAGTGACACTCCTGTAAGGGCTGGTATAACAACTGATATCATTCCACTTCAGTCCTGATAAAGCATACATATATTGATTTGTGTCTTAAATATTTGTCAGCTGGGCAAATAGTCTTAGTACTTCAGCTTACTGCAATGAAGTATATAGCTGGAAGATTAAATTGCAGTACATATGTAGATCTCTAGGGTCATTATTTACCTGTAGTATATACGTTTAATTCATATCGCCTACCCTTGCCCAATATCACTTAACATACTGGGAGAGTAAGTGGTCTTTTTTCCTATAGTACCATGGCTGGACGAGTGAATCTGGCCTGTCTCACCACAAAAGAACGATTGCGTCTGGCCTATCCTACAATAAATGAACGTTTGAGTCCGGCCGATCCTACAATTGATGAACGATTGAGTCCGGCCTATCCTACAATTGATGAACGATTGAGTCCGGCCTATCCTACAGTAGATGAATGATTGAGTCCGGCCTATCCTACAATTGATGAACGATTGAGTCCGGCCTATCCTACAATTGATGAACGATTGAGTCCGGCCTATCCTACAATAGATGAACGATTGAGTCCGGCCTATCCTACAATAGATGAATGATTGAGTCTGGCCTATCCTACAATTGATGACAATTGAGTCCGGCCTATCCTACAATTGATGAACGATTGAGTCCGGCCTATCCTACAATAGATGAACTATTGAGTCCGGCCTATCCTACAATTGATGGACGATTGAGTCCGGCCTATCCTACAATTGATGAACTATTGAGTCCGGCCTATCCTACAATTGATGACAATTGAGTCCGGCCTATCCTACAATTGATGAACGATTGAGTCTGGCCTACCATAAGACAGATGAACGACTTTGCGGGACTAACCCACACTGGAGTCGGGACTATCCTAAAACAAATGAACAAGTCTCTCTTCTCCTATCACAGATGGCCAAACGCGTCTAACCGCACTGGTTAATATTTTGTGGGATAGCCCCGACTCATTCGTTCATCTATTGTAGAATATCCACAACTACTATCCTTTAGTAGTAGGGCTGGGACGGGTGGGTAATGATTTGGACCCGGGTACCCGTCTCAATACCCGGACCCGTTATGATTATGTGACTAATAGATTAAACAATGTAATATGTTATTCTTTCATGATTAAACAATGTAATATGTTTTTCTTTCATGATTAAAAGGTTGTATTGTCTTTGAAGATATAGACATAATTTACAGTCACTTTTTTAATATAATACATGGTTAAGATATTGAAAAACTCGAAATTTTAGCCTCCGAGCTGAAGAATATATTGCCATTTCTTGCAAATCTGATGTCAGGAATTAACATAACGGGTACCCCGGTAGGGTAGGGTAACAGGGGGTGGGGTACCCGGGTAGAAAATTTGGACCCGTCCCAGCCCTACCTAGTAGGCTAGTACCCACCCAGACAAGCAATCAATCCAGTCACAGAACCGGACTACAAAATCTATTGCCCCTTACAACCAGAAATGGGGATCATTTTAATGTTTCTTTTTTAGTAATGCCACTTTTGCAGCGACTTGACGATGGACTGCGAAAAAACCACACTGCAGCAATTCAGTGATTGATATTATGACAACGTGTGACACCATCAGATACGATGATATACAATCAGTCAAATCGCCCAGTCTGAAAACCTGATCCAAGTACTCCTATCTCATCAGTATAGTGTGTGAGTTTACTTTTAGGCTACTTTTAGCAATATTCCAGTAAAATCACAGGACACCAGACATGGGCTTCACACATTATACCTATGTGGGGAATCAAACCCGGGTCTTCAGCGTGATGAGCGAACGCCTTAACCACAAGACTACCCCACCGCCCTCATCAGTATATGTATGTGGGGTATTTTCCAGCTCCATGGGACACTACTCCGACATGGGAACAAAACACCCACCAATTTTCCACCACTATGATGGCGGTCTGTATAAACAGGTCTGGACCAGACAATCCAGTGACTGACATCCTGAGTATCGTTCTCCGCAACTAGGATGACATGCATCAACCTTGTCAGCAAGCCTGACCACCCGATCCGTCATTCGTCTTTTGCTATAACTTCTTTGTGTGGCATTTAGAGGTTGTTGTGATGAACAGTTCTATGGATATACAACTTCTTTATTATTAAGTTCCAGATAAGTTTTAGCTCATGTGGGTACTGTACCCACTGTATTTTTTGGAGTGGATATTATGAATGTTGAGTGGGTATTTCAGTTTCCGTTACCCACTGCTTTCAAATATGTGCGTATTTCAGTCATTTTACTCACCTAAGTATATGCCATTGAGTAAGTTTACTAAGCAGGTATGTTCTGCCTTATGTCATACCTAATCAAAACCAACTTAAATATAATGGAAATGATTTCATAAAAAATCACTCATCCTATACTGACAGTACAACACTAGTCCTATACTAACAGTACAACTTGATAGCAATCGATGTCTTTTTCATTACGCAAGCGATTTTTATAAATATATTCCGTACGCATTTGATTTTAATTGCGTAATTGGTACGCAACAATTATTTTTCAATGCGTAATTCTATGCGTATTTTACCCGGATACGCAGCTTATCTGGGCCTCTGATTAACATACGTGGAGCCAGAGGGGGGTTGCGCGCCCCAGCTTTTGTCCTGAAAGTTTATTAAATGACCATTTAAACTCTTGTGAAAACGGGTGAAAATGAACTTTGCAACCCCTCATTCTCAAAAAGCTGCATCTGCCCCTGATTAATATGAGCGATGTTTCAGTGTAGTTACACATAATTATCAAGCAAACACCGTTATTATGGTCTTTTGCTATGATTTTCTGCTGAAGATGGGTACACTATTCTAATGACATTAATGAGGTGTATGTAGGCTATGTTACAATGGTAATGAGGACTACAGGCACACTGGTGGTTGATAGTGGAAGCTGTATTCACTTTATAAGGAATAACCAATTCCAATAGAAAGCTGATCAGATGGTCAACATCAAAGCATGCCACAATAAGCCCTTAGTGGAACCCTCATCCACACATGAAATCATCCTCGATAATCTCCAGGGTATACCTTCCGATCACTCTCCACTATACCCTGGATGCATCCACGGCTTGGCCCGATAATTATATTACCTCCATTGCTGGCTGCGCATTCTCACACTAGCCAATCAGGTAAGCCGCCGTTACCTGAGCTTGCCAGTGTCAACAAAGATAGCGGTCAATGTCGCAAACGTTTGTTCGCAATGCCACTCAGATTTTTTGGGAAATCATACAGACAAATTGACAGATTTGAAACTTTTTTTAAAAAATATATGAAAGAACTTCTACCTCTTTCAGTGTACCTCTGCTTCAATTGTGTTGCCAAATTTAAACGGTTAGATAATTTAAGAAGCGAAAGTGTTGTGATTGGTTTGCCCAACTTCCCAGCGTAGACACCTGTGATTGGATAAAAAGCCAGCAAAGGGAGGTAATAAAATCATCGGGCCAAGCCGTGGATGCATCCAGGGTATAGTGGAGAGTGATCGTAACGTATACCCTGGAGATTATCGAGGATGACATGAAGTATGAAACCCTACATTTTAAAATCATGAAAAACAACAATCAATCTAAGTATGAAATCTTTATTCATGCAGAACACAACCATTAGTCCACAATCATCCCTTTCAGAAAGCAGCCTTAGACTTCAGTTGTCATGACAACCTCAGACTGCTGCTTCATGAGGTGACCACCATGTTGGATACAGCATATTGTGAAGGCATCTTCATGCTGCATTGCATTTCACAATACCCATACCTCAAGACCTCAACTCCAAATCCACTGGACCATCAAACATCAACAAGTTCACTTCATAATGGTTCCATTTATCCAACAGCTTTAAGTCAAATATTAGTTTAAAAATACAAATCATTATTTAGCATGTTAGCTTATGGTAAGGTCAGAAGGCACTTGAACAACTTCTATTTTTCCTTCACACAAAAGTTTACAAATAGCAGGAACAGTTTAGAAAAATATATGCCATTATAATCGACAATGAATGTTTTGAAGCCATGTACAAGTGATGTTGTGGCCCATCCGATCCATGACATAGAGCACACATACATCTTCATCAACATTGATATATCTTGCAGCTCTGAACACAATCTGAACATTCCACATAAGGCACTTTATACACCGCAGACAATATATCAGCTTACTAGACCAACTTGCATATCACTAACATAAGAATGGACCTCTGGCTATCATTAGTGTGGTATAAAGAGACAATGGAATCACTGGCAGTGACAACTTTGATTGACAGTTACAGACGAATGATTGACAGCAATCAACATGCAATAAACATTGTAGCACCAGCAGAGAGAAAATCAGCCAATGGTTATCAAACTTTAACTCAATTCAAAGATCTTAGTCCATCAGATATATGTTTAATTAAATATTAAAAACTTTATCCATGCCTGTGCATGCACTTGAGAATTTGTCATATATTAATGGGACAACTGCAGATAGAAAACCTCATGCAATCAGATTAATGAAACAGAAATTTCTTAAACATTTCACAAACCAGTCAACTGATCATTCAAACTCCTTTTAAGAATGCTAAATATCAAAAGAAATACCATTAAAAACAGGTGTTTGCGTTAATGATTGTGTGGCAACCCTATGTCATATAGACGCTCCTTTCTCATCAAAACGTTCCAATACCAAATTTTTCTGCCTCCAAATTTTGTTTTAAATAAACTAACTACTAACAAATCAAACATTACATTCACAATAAACAAATCAGTTTACAGATTTAAATGATTCGACGTAAACTCAACTTCTGCTTTTAGCACTTCACGTAATGATTTCGAAATGTTCCAAAGCAGCCTTATGAAAAATAGATTCATTCAAAGACAAGCAAACAGAATACTAGACCAAGCATTCATTTCTAAGAGAGATGAAACTACCACTACTTTCTCAGGCAATCAAATTCTTAAATACATCCAAAGTTTAAGAGATTACTTGAATGAAGGGAAGCCCATTTACACTAGAACTCAATTCAAAATAATTATCTAATCAATTCTGATCAGGCTGAGTATACACAAGCTGTTTCAAACAAGCACTCTAACTGCATCTATTAATCAGACTAGAACTGTATTTGTTTCATGTTTTGTGAATAACATATGAATGTGCACTTTCAAGTTTACATAGTAAATGTTCAACTTCAACTGAGATTCACGTAACAAAACATAACTGTAAATTCCTCGACATGCCAGTGAAATCTTGCTGAATCACAATATTCATCGACAGAAACTGTATTTACATTGTCATAAAAACATATCATACATAACTTGTGACAAGGTCAAAAGTTCAGAAGGTCATACACTGACCTTGACCTTTATCTAACATACAATTAATTTGTCTGTAGGATCAGTCACTGTGACATGACATACATAAAATAGGTCACATACATGAAATGATTGGTATGGACTGAATATTTTTCAAATTTTACAACCATGTTATACTTATACTAGTCTATTACACAAGTACAAACAACAACAAGTAAATATAGTCAGTGAGGATGTAACAAGCAAATACTCAGTTTGTATGGGTGAATGTTGAAGTTTTGAATTTGTTGACAGTTGGAATGAAAATTTAATTGAAAACTTGCCTCAAGTCTAATTACTTTTGTATTCAGGCTTTTTATACAAATATATTGCAATGTCATGTCATTTTTATATTTTTTTAAATTGTTAACGTCAATGTAGAAGTTGGTCGTAAATGAGGCAAGTAAGTCTAGGCACCGAAATGATTTCATGAAAGCACCTAACTGATGTTATGAAAGCAATGACACTGACTAGATGTCTGAACAAATATCGAAACATTCCAACACTCAAATTTGATCATTTTGAATAATGTATTGCCTTTGTGTTAAGTGTAATTAATTAGTATTCAAATGAACACAAATGAAATTAATGGGCTTACTTTCAGCAACACTGAATAGCAGTAAATGTCACAGCTTTTAGTATTTTTCTCAAAATTCCAAAATTAAAGACTTGCTTGTTAACCTCGCACAGTTCACGACACATCCATAAAAATATAAATAATAACAAAGCTGATGGTATTGAGAAGTAACGGCCTTCTTTTTCAAGCGTATCACAGGTGAACTTTGAAAATTAAAACTTTTAAAATTCTTGTTTATGTCTCCAAAATGAACCAGTTGTCTTCAGTTGTGTTGTTCTTCGTAACAGAAGAATGGCACTATACAAGGAAACGACTATATATGTACATAAATGCGACAACCAACAAATATTATCAAGTCACGCCTAGAGTTCCGGCCAAAGCTAATAGGTAAGGTTATTGTCCATCAATCTGACTTAGCCTTCAAATGAACACATTCTCTTCCTTTTGACTTCAATGACACACAAGAACTTTACACAGCTTATTGCGATAACGTCCACAGATGAAATTCCCTGGGAATCGAACTATGCCGACACAATCACAACATCTGTAGATTTATCTGTTCCTGTTAAGTCCGCCATCACAAGGAAACTCACTGTATCTGACAAACATCCACATAGCACTATCTAGAGGATCAGCGTCCGTGGCTTCAGAGACGTCACATACGACTTAGCTAGTTCCGTCATTTCTAACTGGTCAGTAGTCATTCCACAAGCCACTCGTTCAAAGTTAGCATCCAACTGAAAGGAAAGTCAAACACTGAATTAAGACCATTTGTTTTAGTTTGAGTTCGTTTTTCAGCGAGATTGACAACTTGATTATGTTAGTCGCCTCTTACAACAAGCATGGGTTGCTGAAGACCAATTTTAACAAGGATCTTCACGGGTCAACTGTATTGAGAAGCTGCTTGAAGAAAGCAATTTTAAACCTAACCGGTATAGTATTTAATCTTGACCAGGCAATCCAGTGATAAACATCATGAGCATTGATGAACACAATGGGGAAATACATAGAAACAGTCATTAACTTGAACATTAACAAAGAATGAGCGCGAACCTATGAAACAGATCCAGCATTAGTTTTTGTTACTGATATATATCTGTTATGTTCTTTTGTCTTAGAGGAAAATAATCAAGTCTAAGAACAGTTGTTTCTGATGACATTCTACAACTATAAGAAATAAGTGAGTGAGTGAGTGAATATGGTTTTACGCCGCTTTTTAGCAATATTCCAGCAATATCACGGCGGGGGACACCAGAAATGTAAGAAATAAGAGTTGACTCGGTACATGTTCATAACAATGACAGTGAGGCATTATCAGTTGAACATATTTACCTTCACCACAGCTTTACTTGGAATATCAGTAAACTGGATTCTCTTGCTTGACTTCTTAGCTTTCTTTACCTGGAACTACAAACACATCTAATAAGTTCACAGTCTTCAAAAAGGCAAATGAAGACAATAATAAAGATGATAACTAATCAACAAGGAATTAGAAACGACTTAATGCATAAAAGGTACATACCGAAGATCCAGGAGATTTAGGCAGAGCAAAGACATCGAGAACTTCCTCTGGGAGAGTGTCCTTTATAATGGATGGCGGGGAGAACAGCAGACTGGTGTCGCCCAGCAGGGACTTGCTCTGGAAGAGTGAGTGAATGAATTGGGTTTAACGCCAAGTTTGAACAGTATTTCAGTTCAGGGTTTTAAAAGGTATTACTTCATTTTAAATCCACTTGCTTAATATTTACCAAATGGCAGCAGGGGTGGAAATAACTTTAAAATTGCTAGTGTACTCCGGTACAGTGGCACATGTAAAATCACTTGCCCTGATAATTTTTCCACTATACCGACCGTTTTCTTGTTGATTTTTTAAAGAAACAACATAATTAACATTGGAATATCAACTGGACACCGGTACAGTGTGATATACAAATTTGCTTGCCCGACAGAAAAAAACAGTGGACTCGGGCGTCGGGCAATGGGTTATTTCCACTCCTACGGCAGAAATAAAATGATACTGGTTAACTTCAAAGATGGGATTGGGTTAGGACTGATCTTCAGTAACCCATGCTTGTTGTAAGAGGTAATTAACAGGATCAGGTGGTCAGATTCACTGATTTGATCAATGCAAGTAATCACATTGAAATTGCACAGATCAGTGCTCATGATGTCAATCACTGGATTGTCTGGTCCAGACTTGATTATTTACAGACCGCTGCCATATAATAATCAAAACAGGAAAGGAAGTAACCACGGTATTCAGGAGATATACAAACTTAAATTACTTTGTTTGTCCCCAAATAACACAATGTAATTTTTGGAGTAAAATTGATATTTTATACTTATCCTGACTCATGCTCTTTTGCTTGTCTTCTTCTTCTTGCGAACATAGTGGAACACTTGTATCTCCTTATTTGAAGCTCCCTTCAAAATAAAATCACTAATTGGTACTCACCACGAGTTGCCTCCCTTTGTCTCCCCTGGCGGGAAAAGGTGTCGCCACCCTCTGCCCATGTGCTTCACTCTCTCCTGATTTTGCGAGCCCAACACTTGGACTTACAGGGAAATCCAAAGTGTTATGTGGGGAGGATGGGAGGGCTAACCTCATGAGTCAGGATAAGTATAAAATATCAATTTTACTCCAAAAATTACATATTTTTCCTTATCCTGACTCATGCTCTTTTGCTTGTAGCATCCTACGGAACGGAGGTGGGAGTAACAGAATACTTTGGATTTATAATTAGTGATTTTGTATAGATATACTGTAATATCCCCTCACGGAACTTCATGAAGGCTTAGATTTAGGATGTTTCCTGTATAAAAACCATAGGTTATATAAAGCCATTAAAGGGGAATTACATTATGAATATATTGAACAATACATATAATATATATATATATATATGTGACTCTGATAGAGGCACTGAAATTGAATATATCAAAAGTATATGCTTAAGGTTGAATAACTTAAGCTGAACATATATACATAGCCCTAAAACTCCGTAGAGTTATAAGCTAGATAAGTATGTATAAAATACATATTAATCTTGTGAGGATAATATTTAACGCCCTCGAGGGACTGTCAGTTGCTGGCGAGGACCAGTGGTCGAAATGGTGAATGCCAGAGACATCTTCTGTAGTGATGTCTCTCAGGTAGTGATTAGCAAATACCATGTTAGATTTCCAATAGCATCCTTCCATAATCGTGTTCAAGGAACAGTTACCATGTAGGGCTGAGGGTGGAGGCCAATGCCCTGATCTCATGTGGATTTGATGCTGTTGGTGGGTCCAAGCCTGCTGCCTTGTAGGCCGCGGGAGAATGACAGTCCTTATCCAAATAGATATTGTGGTCCGTGACACTTCTGTTTGATTAAGTAGGCGATAAGGGGATGAATAAGCGTTTGAGAAATCGTCTCCTTGTTTTGGATCGTCATTAAAAAATAAACTTTGAGCTCTTACTGGACACAGTGATAGGTCTTGTGTATCTTGTGATCGAGAATAGAGGATAAGCGCCGGGATGTGGAATAATCTGTCTGGTTGACCTGGCAGTTGATTTTTAGCGATGAAATCCCATCTTAATCCGAGGTGCGCTGTGTTATGATTGTCATCAAACTGTATCCTCTACGTAATCCAGAGCGTGAATTTCAGACATTCTTGCTGCCGTGGCTAGAGATAGCAGAAACAGTGTTTTCTGTGAGAGAAATTCAAAAGTTGTTGATTCCAACGGTTCATAGACCTCACTTTCGTGAGGTGTTGTAACACTACATTCAAATCCCAAGCTGGAAGTGGAACTTCCGCTTTTGGTCCTCAATCGGAATGCTTTCGTAGTAAGGCCAGTAACTCTGGAGATCTTGTTAATTTGACACCCGTTCTCATGGTGATTACAGAACTAAAGCGGCAAGATATGTTGATATCGTTGAACCTTTTAAATGTTTGTTTTAGGCAGGGTAACACAAATAGTCTGCCACTTGAGGTTGAGAAGCCTCTCTTGCTGTAAAACCTTTCTTTGCTGCATAATTTTGAAACTGTGCCACTTGTCGTCATACAAGTTCTGAGTTGAGTAGCGTAAGGCAAAGCGTGACTGCTTTTGCCGCCCTGGCAGAATATCCTCTCTTGTTTAAACACATTTGTATACAGTCCATAATGCGTGTAGTTGGAACATTCCTGGGTTTCCTTGCACTTGTTTGGTGTGAGGATGAATTAACAGGTTTTCTTGGCGCTTGGGTAGCTCCAGTGCTGGTTGACCGATTTCTTGAATTAGTGTGGAAACCATGTTCTGGCCGACCAGTAGGTAGCGACCAAAGTGAGTTATGGGCTCTGTGTTTGTCTGATTTTCTGTAATACTTGAGGTATTATTGCTGGCGAAAAGCAGCGTCGCGTTGAGGCCTTCCATGATAGACTTAAATCCGTCCGTTGCCCAAGCTTGGGGTCTGGGACTGGTGACACGAATGTCGGTAGCTGATTGTTGAATCGGCGTGGCGAATAGGTCTATTAGCTCCTAATTGCTTGATTATCTGTGCAAATATTTCCCTGTTGATCATCCACTCTGTCGGGTGATGGTAGATGAGGCGAGAGAAGTCTGCTAGTATATTTTTGGCTCGGGGAATGTGCACTGCTCTGACATGTAGATTTAGATCTTGTATTAAATCGAACAGTTGAAAGCTTAGGTTCAAAAGGTTCATCGATCTCGTTGGGCCTTGCTTGTTTATGTAGAAACGCCACTGTCGAATTGTCTGTATGGATCATTAGATCGCATTTTGTAGAAATGTGCTCCAATGTAGAATGGCGTTGATTACAGCTTTCATTTCTAGACTGTTTATATGGAGTTTGCATTCTTGCTGATTCCATAATCCTGATATCGTGTGGTTGGTGAGATGAGCTCCCCAACCTTGGAGTAACAGCGATCTACATACAGATGGGTTTTGTATTCCTGCTCTGCTAAACAAATCCCTTCGCAGACATTCGATTTCTTGGTCCACCATAGTAGATGAGGTCTGAGATGTTTGGTAGACTGAATGGTTGTACATCGTTGAGATGTCGTTGATGAGGACCTGTAGGGGGCGTAACTGTAAACTGCCTGTGACAGTCATGTCTTGGGCTGATGTGAGAAGACCTAGTAGGCTCTGCCATTGTCGAGAGTGGTAGCGGAGAGAGTAGAGCTGGTGGAATGGTCTGTTGTATCTTGAATAGCGGTCTTCTGGTACCATAATACGGTTGCGATTTGTGATGAATCGAATACCTAGGAACTGCAGGTCTTGCGATGGTACTAGGTCCGACTTGCGTAAAGTTTACTAACCAACCTAGTTGTGTTAGTAGCTTTATGATGTAATTTAACTGTAGTTTGAGGCGCTGTGGATCTTGATCTACTTGTATCCCGTCGTCGAGGTAAAGCGCTCGCGTAGCCCTTGGCGATGTAGAAATATGATAATCGGTTTCGTTATCCTCGTGAATAGCCAGGGGGCTGATGATATTCCGAATGGGAGTACTTTCCACTGGTAATGTAGCCCTTCTAGAGTAAATCGTAGGTATTTCCTGGAATCGGGATGAATGGGGATGTGCAGGTAGGCATCCTGTAGATCTATGCTGCCCATGTAGTCCATAGGGGCCGAATCATCTGGCGTAACTGAGGTAAATGTATCATCTTGAAACCCGGTGGTTTCGTAGATAATTCTTGTTGAAAAAGCTCATGTTGTAGATGAGTCTGTATTTCTCCGTGGAGTTTTTCTTGGGAACTAGGAAAACTGGGGAGTAGAAACCTGGTTCGACGTTTGCTTGATCTATTACTTCTATGGCCTGTTTGGATAGGAGTGATGAAACAGCCTCTCTTATCTTTGGTAGTTGTTGCGCTTGTAAATCGAACTTGGGGGGTTTGATTGTCAGCGGAGGCTTAGCCTGTAGTGGGATCTGAAATCCGTGTTGAAGAATGTTGGAGGCGTAAAGGGTCTTGCAATATTCCCCAGTTTTCCCAGTGTAGTTGGAATCCACCCACTTGTGCTGGCTGTACTGGAGCGGCTGGGGTGGAAGACTCCAGTCGTTCGAACCTGTGTTTCAGCGTCTATAGTTGCGGGAACCTCTGGGTGTCCTGCCTCTTCCTGATCCTCCTCTATAGTTGCCATATGGGCGTGAAAAGAATCTTTACCTCTAGAGCTGGCTATCTTCCTGTCTCTTGCTCTTTGTAGGCCCGTGAACTTAGATCTGCCTGAGTATCTTTGTGAAGTCTGGCCAATGGCGCTGGCTAGTGTGTCCATCGATTTAATCATAAGGACTTCCCTGGAATCCTTAGAGACTTCCTTGGCGACTTTGTCGATTTCTCCGTCAAAGATGGATGTTGTATGCCACCAGGGCTGTATAAAGTGGGGCTGTAAAGTTCTCCCCAATTACAGGAAGCGAGGAGGCCTTGGCGGCGAGCTAAGGTCGAATGCTGCTGAAACAGATGTAAGATGATCCGTTAAAAACTGCTGATCTTTCTTTTGCATAAGTAAGGCAGAATAAATCATTCTATCATCTTCCGTCGTGGAATCCGGAATCTAGTAATAAGAGTCTCATTGATCGTCCTAGATCTATTTAACCCAAAGAACATCGTCTCGTCATGGTTTCTATATGAGCCAACTTGCGATCATCCATCTTGTAAATCTTGTTCTTTACATGGCTGATGATCTTATAGTTCTCATCGATGTCCTGGGCTTTGTAGAAGGAGTCCATGTTATCGTGGAGAACTTCTTGGCATGAAAGTTGGGCAGATGTGGTGTCTGAACTTTTCGTAGCTTTCTGGAAAGCTGCATCTAGATTCTGTGGCACTGCATAATCGGGTCGATCGGGGTAGAGTGATTGCATCTGGATCGTCTTCCTTCATCAAATCGTCTGCGCTGTATTGCCACTTTTAGATGGTGATGTGAGATCTAGGTTATTGACCATCCAATACCGTATCTCTGCATCAGAAAATATGATTCCTCCATCATCCTCAATACCATCATCATTAACAAATTGTAGATGCTCTTGGGACTGCGTGTAGCTGTCTGTATATCTGATGAGGTTTGTGGCGATCTAGTTGACTTGTGCGCGCTCTATGTGGAGATCTGGCGGGTTGATCGACCTGGTGATGAAGCGAAGTGGAGATCGTCTATGGGATGATCTTCGGGAGACTTGTGAGGTGAGCGTTGATAGCTTCGCGAAAGCTCTTCTATAGTCCCTCGATGTTCTTCTAGATGATGAGGATCTGGAATCATATGTCCTTCCAGCGAATGCCTTAGCGAAGCTTCATTTACTTCGGTCGGGGGATCGATGATATGACCTTCGCGAAGGCCTCCGTGATGTCTGATGGTCCGAGTCCATATCTAGAGATGAAATCGAAGATGGTGATGATCTATCCCGCCATCGCGAAGGCTGTACATCTAGGTCCTTCGTCAAGGTGGTCCGGGACTTCCTTCGCGAAGGTGACATCGTCTTGGCTGCTACGTTGACGGGTGGTGCCTCTGGGGTGCTGTCTACGTTGGAGCCTTCGCGAAACTTCGGACCCTGCTTCTGCAGTTTGTAGTGGTCCTCCATGATGTTCATAATCTGCATCATGTCTTCTGGGATGATCTGTAGCCGAAGTCGTCCGGCGTCTTCTCTGCGATGGGGTCACATGAATAGCGTCTGGCGTGATCGGTGTAGAGGCATCAGGCTGCATGGTGATCTCTGCAGAAGTCATAGTCGCTGACACCGGTCGCTTCTTCTGCCGTAAGTCGGGGATGATTATCGGCAGATCATCGTAGAGACCCAATTCTGCTGCTGGAACGATCTCGGCTGAGAAGTTCTGCTGTCTTCGTAGATTTTCCTTTGGAAGTCTAAGCTGCCCTGGGTGTCCTCAATCTGCGTTGAGGCGGCGGTATGAGAGCCCTCTTAGACTTGGTCTGCAATGGCGGGATGTCTGGGGAGGCGGTCGTTTCTTCGAGGTAACGGACTGCGTCCCACGTTCCTCTACGCGCAGGGATCTCTAGCAGAACACCAGGCGGAGAGGGTCGATCGCTAGCAGCTGACTGGATGGAATATCTGGACTCTCTGCCATGTTTGCCCTTGTTTGCGTGATCTATCTGCAGCCGCGTCTTAAAGGCGCAAAGATGATATTTATTAAATGCAGAAAGAGATAAATTAATGCAGTAACTGCAAGCGTGAATTAAGTCGCATTACCGCGGTAGAACAACTAGGGCATATTACATGTGGATCGGAGGCAGAAAAGCGTAATCTACAAATCGTACAGATTTTCATCAGCGTAAAGCTAGCTGAACAATCCGCGATACACGTGAATAAACGGTAGAAATCGATAATTAATCAATACAAATAGTAAAGGATACTAGCTATACCTCTATAGTAACCTATGAGAGGTAAAAACTAAGAGATTATCAAAGGATATGGTGTGTAAGGAGACACGAGGCGCTCTCACATCCTGCTCACTGGGCGAAGAAGGAGAGAGTGAAGCACATGGCCAGAGGGTGGCGACACCTTTCCCGCCAGGGGAAACAAAGGGGAGCAACTCGTGGTGAGTACCAATTAGTGATTTTATTTTGAAGGGAGCTTCAAATAAGGAGATACAAGTGTTCCACTATGTTCGCAAGAAGAAGAAGACAAGCAAAAGAGCATGAGTCAGGATAAGGAAAAATAATGGTCCACCATATCATTTTACTGGTCTTGATGAAAACATATTAGACCGATGACTGTCCAACACTGCTAAATTCTGGACAAGGCATTTGACATTGGGTATGACTGACTGACTGACTGACTGAGTTTGGTTTTACGCCGCGTTTAGCAATATTCCAGCAACATCACGGCGGGGGACACCAGAAATGGGCTTCACACATTGTGCCCATGTGGGGATTCGAACCCGGGTCTTCGGCGTGACGAGCCAACGCTTTAACCATTAGGCTACCCAACCGCCCCAGACATTGGGTATGAGAAAACTGAGAGTGAGACATCAGGGAGAGATACAGGGAATGAGAACAACTTACTGGAGTCTCTGGAGACATCAACAGCGACTGTGACACACTGAACTTGTCCCTGTCTGTCGACCACTTCTCCTCCAACGACTGCCGAACGCGGTTGTGCTGTATATGCTGTGATACGAAAATATCATGGAAATCACAGTAATTCACAAATCCATATTAAGTTCAGTGAAATACACCTAACAGCTCTCCTGAAGGTGTTTCCTCAGTACAATGAATTTTGAGTGGGTATTTCATTTTCCGTTACCCACTGCTTTCAAATGTGCGTATTTCACATATTTCAGTCATTTTACTCACCTAAGTATTATGTCATTGAGTAAGTTTACTAAGCAGGCTAGCTATTCTCGAAACGTTCGTAGACCTACGAACTTCTTAAGCCCATTCTTAACACATTGGCTACGATCAAAGTTAAGAATTCTTAGGGCTAAGAACGTTTCGAGAATAAGGCCCCAGGTATGTTCTGCCTTATTTCATACCTAATCAAAACCAACTTAAATATAATGGAAATGATTTCATAAAAAATCACTCATCCTATACTGACAGTACAACACCAGTCCTATACTAACAGTACAACTTTTTCATTACGCAAGCGATTTTTATAAATATATTCTGTACGCATTTGTTTTAAACTTTTTGTATCTAACATTTTAAATGCATAATTGGTACGCAACAATTATTTTTCAATGCGTAATTGGAAATTTTCTATGCGTATTTTACCCGGATACCCGGCAGCTTATCTGGGCCTCTGATAGTGTAAGCTTTACAGGATATAATAAACACAGCAATCAGGAAAATAGGGGTTTGATCTATGCAAGGGCAGTAACTCTTCCTACCTCTTTGTTTGGCTTCCTCTTGGAGTGTCTAGAGTGGGTCAATGGAGTCATCCCAGCTGACAGGTCCCCTTCGTAACCAGTATCACATTCTGCTTTCAGGATCTCCCCCAGGTCCACTAACTGACCAGGGCTCTGGACACAAGTACAACAATGTATCACATAATTGTTTGGTAATCTATACAGGTACATACTGTTAAAAATTATATTTAAAAAATAAAAAAATATTTTAAGAATAACGATGTAAATATACTGTGACATTAGCAACCGGAACAAAGTCTGCGGCTGGTAATGTTGCATGAATTAGTAACCTAAGCAAGTCATATTGCATATATTGAGGAATTTCAGCAGCCTAGGACTTATAGTGTCTCTTGTCATGCAAAAGCAACTGGTTCCATGTCCAACGAGAATACATCATTTGGTGCCCATTTTCAGTGTCCCAAACTGTCATACTGCTACAAATGATATCAAAACCATCTCACATACTTACCTTAAACATGATGCCAAATGACAGGTTTTGACCAACAGATTCAAAATTATTTTGCATTGAAAAAAACATATTGATTCTGTTTTCTTAAGTATAGAAAGAGGGTTTCCAGGGCTCAGAAGTTTATGTCTTACAACAGAAGTAACATGACCACTTACCCTGAAAATTGCCTGACAACCATTGTTTTTGTGAGCAGAGCACATGTTGAGGCTTAACTGAATACTGTAAACTGAATTTGTAAACAAACTTTATGAGCATTACTGCAAACTTCAATGAAAAATAACCAACCCATTGTCTCTGTGCCCCAGCCTTCTTTTCTATCTCTGCCAGAGCATTCTTGAAGGGAGTCGGTGTCCGTGGAGTGGCGTCCAGCAGAGACGGATTCAGATGTGGGGTATTCAGTTTAGAGCTGAAACACAAGAGTTGGCACCGAATACAAATTCAGTGATAGACACATGCACTAGTTTGTTATTCTGGTGAAGCTGGTGGTAAGGATATCCTTCTTTATTACTAGAGGTGGGTCATAATACCGGTTAACCGGTATATTGCAATCCGAAGTCCACAATACGATATATTGCGGTACCCTTTTTGCGAACCGGTTCTGCCGATACAATCGGCAATTTCCGTGACCATGTTCGGTAATTTTTGTTATGTAGTCAAACATACTAGTGTTGGGAATTGGTTTAAATCTCATAATTGATGATTGGTTCATTACAACCAATCAATCATTGAAAATAATTGGTTAGCGTCATTTATCAAATTTTCCTAGTTATGTTTCTTAATGCACAAAAAATAAAGAAAAAACGTGTAGTTCTTTCGGTTTCTTTGCAAACTGCACAAAATGCATTTGCAAATTTCACATCTTTAAAGGATGACTAGTATGTTAGGTACATGAATTTCATGGAGTCTTTAAAATAAATTCAATCATGAATTGGAAGAGCTTGTAGATCTAATGAAATCTATCAGACAAAACCAACCTTGTGAAAAATATTGTTACTGCAAACAAGTGTTCCAAAATTGTTTGTGTTCGATTATGAGAAAACATGAACGATTGCTTGGTCGTTTTGTCATTGCGACCAATCTTCGATTATTTCAATTAATCGGACCCCCACTAATACATACTAATGACATTTGTATTTCCTTCATATTATTATACATTAATAGTTTTGAGAATGTTTATTGGTCATATAATTGTATTTGGTTGACTTTTAAACCATATAACAAAACACTCGTTGCAGGGATAAACAAACCAAAACGGCAGACGCTTTTTCTCGAGTTCCAAACTTTAAAGCGAATTCTTCAATTTGGAAACATTTTCAGCTGATCTCTTGTACAATAACATCTGAGTCCTGACAGTGGTCAGTGGCATTGTTTCAAAAGAAACAAAACTTTGATTTCATTACCTTAAACCATGTGTGACACTTTCACAATATATTATAATACATCTTGCAATACCCCAAAACATATCACAATATATCGCAATACGAAAATTTTCACAATACCCATCCCTATTTATTACATATGAGGGCGAAAATATCGTGGTTCATACTTTTCATATGATACCCTAGGGCAAAATATCACTTTGTCATGGTGACGTGACATCACGAACAATGCTATGACGTCCCGTTTCTTCTATGACGTTGTGTTCTACATGCAGCATCAGCGGTTAGCCAGCCTATGTTTGAAAGTAGATTTGGGTTTATTTTCCTCAAATTGACGACTTGGGTAATAAATAGAATATTATATTCATTTCCATATCATACTATGTTTGTGACACTCATGCCTAAATATCGGTATATTCCTCGCTCTTGCTCAGGAAATACCAACAGGAAATATATAGGCACTCGTGTCATAAACATAGCATGACATGGGCACTCATATAATATCCTCTATATCCTATGTCTTTCATTCTATATAGTTGTCATCAGTGAGCTTTCAACACATTCAAAATACACATTCAATGACTATGTTGTTTCTCACTAGTTCCATCGCTGCTTCTGGCAAGATAGATAGGGTAAAGGGCAACATTTCTGTGCAATGAAACCAATGACAACTACGTTTGAATTCCTTTTGTCAAACTGCGTTTCCAATACATTTTGTACAGTCACCATTCATAGAGAATGACACAAATTAGTTTTCTTCATGATTCTAAGATTCCTGTTTTTTAAAGTCATTTGAGTGAAAAATACGTGCACATATTGATGAAACGATATCACAGAAACATGTTACTAAGCAGAGCTAGAATGCATGCAAAGTAAAGTCATAATCAATCTAACATTAGATATGAGCACACTCGGAGTTTGCTCCAGTTTAACCTGACACTATAATGCTTTATGATAGTACTAGTAGCCTGTGTGGTAAGAGCGTCCGCCCAGAGAGCGGAAGGTCGCGGGTTCGATCCCCGACTGCGTCATACCAAAAGACGTTAAAATATGGTACTTGTTGGTCCCTGCCTGGCGCGCTCGGCATTAATGGGTACAACAAGGACTGGTCGGCTTGGAGTCAGTATAATGTGCCTGAGTGGGGTATTCATGCTTCACTGCGGCATGGTATCTCAGTGGGCTAGCACTATAAAACCAGCTTCAGTCTGGGCTAGTACAAGCAGCCGCACATACACATACACACGCATGCACGTCGTCATATGAGCGAAATATTCTCAAGCACGACGTTAAACCCAATTTCACCTCACCTCACCTCACTAGTAGCCTGTAGTGGTGGTCCGATTAATTGAAATAATCGAAGATTGGTCGCAGGGACTAAACGACCAAGCAATCGATCATGTTTTCTCATAATCGAACACAAACAATTCTGGAACACTTGTTTTCATCAACAATATTTTTCACAAGGTTGGTTTTGTCTGTTACATTTCATAAGCACTACAAGCTTGTTCCAAGTCATCAATGAATTTATTTTAAAGACATCAAGAAATTTATGTTCCTAACATACTAGTCATCCTTTAAAGATGTGAAATTTTGCAAAAAAAAATCAACAAAATTGAGTACGTTTTTTCCTTATATTTTTGTGCATTAACAAATTTCATAAATGACGCTAACCAATTATTTTCGATGATTGATCGGTGGTAATGAACCAATCATCAATTATGACATTTTAAACAATTCCCAACACTAGTAGCCTGTAATGAATAGAGTCTGGACAAGACAATCCAGTGATTGACCGTTTGCGCAACGATCCACATGGTCAGGTACAAGGGCACGTTATCAACCAACAACCAACCCAGACCACCAGGTCCATTAGGTGCCTTCTTACGGCCAGCGTAGATGCGGAGGACCATTTTCAAATGGAATCCCACAGAGTTACACTTGTCTGGTATAAAACCTATCTTTGAAAATACAGTAGAACATGGTTATAGCGAACACGGATATAGCGTACAAACGGATATAGCGAACAAATTTAAAAGTCCCGTCAACAGTCCTTTATAATATCATTAAAATTATACGTGAATAACGAACTCGTGAGTAGCGAATTAACGGCTATAGCGAACTGATTTACTACCCCCCAAGATCCAATTAACGACGTGATTAGCAAACTCAGTGTCAGCTCAGCCACTTAGCGGTACAGTATACATCAATCTTGTTGGCGGTGAATCAACATTGTTTGATGGTCATGAATTAATTAACAAAACAAACATATCGTGTTTAACCCATTCAACACGCGCCAGGCGAATAATCGGCCACAACGTTATGAAAAGCGAAAGTTTTCGGATTGGCGAGGGCGGTATCCATTGCCGTGAGTATGATTGGCTGCCTTAGGTCACGCGTGTCTGATTTTGACCAATCCACGATCCTTATAGCAGACTGTGGCGAAAAGCGTCATTAGAAACCAATCTTTATCCAATAAAATCGCTTTTACAACTGTGAAAATACTCTCGCAAGGGTACAGTGATATTGTTGATGTTCCAGAGCTGTCGAACGATACCAGACACCACACGCGATTCACCTCGCATGTTATTCATACGGAGCTTCGAAAACGGAGGTATTTCCCGTTGTTGTGTCATGTTAACGAACGGAAAGCCTGATTACATAAAAATGAATCGGAGAAAGAAGAAAGAGGCACGGGCATGTTATGACATGTCACAAATGGAAAAAAGATCGCTACAGTTTTTGCTTCTTTCGTGGTTTATCTGGACATTATAAATGTAAGCTTGCATTTTCATTAAAAAATAAATTTATTTAAGTTGTAGTTGTATTATTTCAATTTTATTATAAAACGGCAAGATGGCGGTCAATGTGAATAACGAACAACGGATATAGCGAACTAAATTTCTTGGTCCCTTGGAGTTCGTTATATCCGTGTTCTACTGTACCTCCGTCATAAGACTCATTAACCTAAGACCATCTCAAAGTGTACATATGGTAAGTGCATAAATGTTGCTTTAAGCCGCATCAGCAACTTTGCAGCTATTCGTGGCTATGTATTATGGATACTGCAGGGTTTCGACTCACTTGTCTGTATCTTTCATCACAGGAGTCCTCAGAGTGTCAATACCAGAAGTACAGCTCCGACTCTGATGGCCGACAGGAGTAGAGGTCAGTTTACCATTGCCATAGGGGATTTCAGGACTGTTCAAAAACTGAAACAAAAAGTAGTCATCAGGAATACTGGATAATCGTAATGTCACTACTTGTGCATAACTTTGAAGACCATGCGAGTATTTGCAAATGAAGTACACACAGAGTGAGTGGGTGTATTTAATGCTGCTTTCAACAATATTTCTGTCATATCATGTCAAGATGATGTAGCTTGATGTAGAAGAAAAGCCCAAAACAATGCAGGTCTAAGATGTTTACTAATGTGGTGAAAACCACCTCCACAGCTATAGGAATGACTAACCTATATAAATGGTGAACCACAATTCAGACTCACAATCATAGGTTCCTTGGTGTCCAAGGGAAGCAACTCTGCACAGGGAATTGCAACAAAGACAACTGAACCACTTGTACCCCAAGTAAATATAGAAGAAGTTTGTGGATGCCAATGTTAATTTCAGTTATGATTGTTAGGGCCTATTTCAGTAATAATGGTACCATTTTTAATTGGTAGATATAATCACAACGCACCTGTGACGGAGAAAATGGCAAGTTTTTGATGGGTGTGCCTGTTGGTGTCTCTGGCTCAGATTTAATGCCACTCAGACCAAACGGTTCCTCATTCTCATTGGTATCATGGTCCTCATCCGCGACAAGAAATGTTGGCACCACATGACCATATCCCTTGTCGATAGCGTAGCTTTCACGGGGACGAATGTTGCGCTGGAAACAAGCCTCAGACAATCAAAACACTGACAAACATAGAAAGGACCATTCAAAGGTAACAATGTTCTTGTCAAGGTTCAGGATTTACAAATATCAACACTTGGTAAAAATATAGAGCAATTCCTTATTACTGGTTCGGTATTCTATACAATATCTGTAGTATTTCTTTGAAGTGAGTGAATGAGTTTGGTTTTACGCCGCTTTTAGCAATATTCCAGCAATATCACGGCGGGGAACACCAGAAATGGGCTTCACACCTTGTACCCATGTGGGGAATGAAACCCGGGACTTCAGCGTGACGAGCAGACGCCTTAATCACTAGGCTAGCCCACCGCCCCTATTTCTTTATAGAACATTCTGATGTACAGTGTAACATGATAGGCTTTGATATGATACATGATATATACATGTTGCTGATGACCATATACAGTCATTTTTTCCTTTTTAGTAAATAAGTAACCCTTTAAACACATCACCGGTAGTGCTGGTTATCGCTCAAGAACTATATTATCTACCGTATATGACCGTCTATAAGCCGAATTTTGAGGACCAAAAAAAGCAGTCGGTAGAAGGGGGTCGTCTTATCCATGGGTTACGCTTTCATCAAACTTTTTTCCAGGGTAAGAAAACAACATCGTATAACTTCGCGTGAACAAACAACAGAAGACGACTTTGTCAGTAGAGACGTCAAATTTGCAATTAAACATCACTAGACAAGATTATTTACCTTTTAAGTTATAAGTTGTTTTGCTGGGCATTGTATTATTTGCAGGGATTAAGATTACCATGCGTATTTGTCTCGTACACAAAGCCGGAAATAGCAATCAGCTGTGCACACGTTTCCCGGCGAACAAGTTCAAACATGCACAATAATATAACGGGACGAATTCTGACGCAGTCATCAGTAAAATATAATACAGAATACCATTATTTAACCCAAAGAAATATATCCTAGCATTGTGTAATTTTAGTTACAGTTTTTGCTCTATAAATTAATTAAGATTACCGTGCGTATTTGTCTCGGCATCGTACACAAAGCCGGAAATAGCAATCAGCTGTGCACGCGCTTCCCGGCGAACAAGTTCAAACATGCACAATAATATAACGGGATGAATTCTATTGATTGAATACTATTATTTAACCCAAAGAAATATATCCAAGCATTGTGTAAGCACATGGAATGGGGTAAAATACGGAAGCCATTTAAATTCACACATTTTTACCGATGTTACTGTAAACTAGCAGTCAATGGAAAACAAGGCGGTAATCAGTTCGTGATTGTTGAATGGGGTAAAATAAGCAAGCCAGTTGGTTGCTACAATAAATACGATATTTAGAGAAGCTATATTATGCATTTTCTGTCAACTACACTTCGTTTCGATCCGTGAGTAGACACAATATATATGACAGTGAATTCTTTGAATAATGTGGACCAAAGTTATAATTATTGGTAACTGCCAGTTGTCTGTGGTCTGTGTTTGCCGCGATTAGGACCCCATCGCAGGGGGTCGACTTATGCACGAAACATACCACTTTGATACTGATTTTAAGGGTCAAGTTTGGGGGTCGTCTTATCCATGGGGTCGTCTTATAGACGGTCATATACGGTACACAAATCTTGTCTTACCTGGCAAACCCCATACAATTATTTTAGTATGTTCATTAAAAACAACAGCCAACATATAAATTCCAACAATAAAGAAAACGTTTTTTTGCGTGGCGCTTGTGTTGTTTTTTGAGTATGAGGATACATATATAGGTACGTATTGTACCGTTACTTGTGTATCAAGATACATATCGTATTGTGGCATTTGAAAAACTAACACTAAATTCATTTTTGCATGAAAAATGTGAAAACTAACCTGTTTCCTGCGCTTACTCTTGCGCAAGATGGCTGGAGGTGTTGTGAGCTTGTGAGCTACAGGGGAGGTAATTGGTATCAGACCGCCCGGGCTCTTCAGTTTGCCGAGAGAGTGACCATCAAACCTCAAACCTGAAGACAAAGCCAGACAATATGCAGGAACTATACCTATATGGCAGCGGTCTGTAAATAATCAAGTCTGGACCAGACAATTCAGTGATTGACATCATGAGCATCGATCTAAGTAATTGGGACACGATGACATGTGTCAACCAAGTCAGCGAGCCTGACCACCTGATCCTGTTAGTTGCCTCTTACGACAAGCATGGGTTGCTGAAGACCAATATAATCTTCTAACCTGGAACTTCACAGGTCTTTGGGAGGATAGGTCTACATGTTATCAATACTGTCCAGGGCCCCATTTCACAGAGCTCTCAAAAGCCTTTTCTCGTAGCAATCGTACCTCCTATACTGTAACATTGACTTACAACAGTCGTAGCTCTAGGATAGCTTTGTGAAATGGGGCCCAGGCAAACATTTTTGGTTAATTTCCATCCCTGCAAAAGTGGTTTCAGGAGTAAGAAAATCCAGTGAGATATATGGCATCATTTAATGGATACTTTGTCACCAGCAAAGTTTGACTCTCACCTGTCGACCCTTTCTTCTGCAGGCTTGTGAACTTAATAGGGGTTACTCCTGTTTGGGATTCTAGGCCATTGATGAGGTCCAAAGAAGACAGACCTCCAAAAGTGTTTACTTCCATCATGGCATCTGCCATATTGGCAAAGTTTCTGTAAACATGCGAGAATAGCATTCAGAAAAGACAAAGAGTTGGATAACTTCATACCCAATACATTGCTATTGATTGGGAGCCCATTATATTTCAGCAGAATATTCTTTGAAAGACAATAGAATCTCAGAGTGAGTTGCAATGGTTACATTGAAAATAGTGAGTGAGTGAGTTTTTGTTTTACGCCACACTCAGCAATATTCCAGCTATATGGTGATGGTCTGTAAATAATCGAGTCTGGACCAGATGATCCAGTGATCAACAGCATGAGCATCGATCTGCCGATTGGGAAGTGTTTGCCACTGATGTAACTCTCAGGATAATGTCCCCGTTTTCTATCATTTTTCACTAAAGAATGGAATATCTATATTTACTACTTTTTATTTTTGGGTCACATACAAGATGCCTGAAATGACTGGTGTCTGCATAATCACCCAATGTAGGCTGTCAACATACTTGAAAACATTGGGTGCAATGTTTTATGAGATATCGCCTTTAAAAAGCGGTCAAAGTATCATGGTGACCTTGAAGATAAGGTCAAGGTCACCCAAATAAACTGCTGTCTGTGTAATACCCTAATGTAAACTGTCACCAAATTTGATGACATTGGGTACAACAGTCCATGAGATATCGCGTTAACAAGAGTTAAAAGTGTGAAAAGTGTCGTGGTGACCTTGAAAATAAGGTCAAGGTCACCCAAAATCAACTGGTGTCTGCGTAATCCCCCAATGTAGGCTGTCACCAAATTTGAAGACATTGGGTACAACAGTCGATGAGATGCTGTGTTAAGAAGAGTTTATAAAGTGTTCAAAGTGTCGTGGTGACCTTGAAAATAAGGTCAAGGTCACCTAAATACAGTGGTGTCTGCGTAATCCCCCAATGTAGGCTGTCACCAAATTTGAAGACACTGGGTACAACAGTGCATGAGATATCACGTTAACAACAGTTTGAAAAGTGGTCAGTGTCGTGGTGACCTTGAAAATAAGGTCAAGGTCACCCAAATCGTCTGGTGTCTTTGTAATCCCCTAATGTAGGCTGTCACCAAATTTCAAGACATTGGGTGCAACAGTTCATGAGAAATCGCGTTAACAAGAGTTAAAAGTGTGAAAAGTGTCGTGGTGACCTTGAAAATAAGGTCAAGGTCACCTAAATAAACTGGTGTCTGCGTAATCCCCAATGTAGGCTGTCACCAAATTTGAAGACACATGGTACAACAGTGCATGAGATATCACGTTAACAACAGTTTGAAAAGTGGTCAGTGTCGTGGTGACCTTGAAAATAAGGTCAAGGTCACCCAAATCGACTGGTGTCTGCATAATCCCCCAATGTAGGCTGTCACCAAATTTGAAGACATTGGGTGCAACAGTTCATGAGATATCGCGTTAACAGTGACAAAAGATTTGCACAAGAACTGGTATTTTTTAAGGCTGCATGATAGCATGAATGAAGTTACAAATCATCTTCAAGCACATTTTGCATCCATATCACAGCAGCCAGCATGGTAAATACCAAGACAGGGTTTACTTGTGCCAAATAAAACTCAGGCCACTGGCATGACAAACCAACTCTTTATCAACTGGGCTGCTACTACTTCTAAGTACTTATACTGACTGACTGAGTTTGGGTTTACGACGCTTTTAGCAATATTCCAGCAATATCACGGCAGGGGACACCAGAAATGGGCTTCACTCATTGTACCCATGTGGGAATTCGAACCCAGGTCTTAGGCGTGACGAGCCAACGCTTTAACCACTGGACTATCCCACCGCCCCCTAAGTACTTATAGCTGCTACAGGACCTGCTACATGGAAAATGACTGTGTCTGGCCCAGACGGTTTAGATACTGATATATCTGTAGTGGTGGCCATCCAAACCTCTAACAAAACAAAGTCTGGTGGGTCAAGGTCTAAGCCAATGTCCTCACAGGGAATGAGTAGAAGTACAGTCTCCTGGATATTGGTTTGCTTTGGTTTGCTGTAAATACTTTCGGACTGTGGAGTTATACTAATATTAGATATGGTGAAAATGATGACTTACTTGAGAGGAGTTGCAATATTGTCTGAGGGTTGCAGTGAGATCACCTGCAAGTTCTGACTGGATGCCGAAGGTGCAGTATTTTGCACCCAACCTTGACCTCCAGTCACAGACGACACATAACCTGCAGGTAAATGGAGAAACATAAACATGGTTCGGGCCACTCAACCCCTCATTGACCTCAAATAAAAGGGCTGTAGTCACTCTATCCCCATGTGCCCTCAAACAGTGCTGGGATCATTAAACCATAACCCACCCCATCCCAGTGACCCCAAACATAATGCTGGAATCATTAAGCCACAACCTAACCCCACCCCAGTGACCCAAACATAATGCTGGGGTCACTCACTCCCATACCCACCCCAGTGACCCAAACACAATGCTGGGGTCACTCACTCCCATACCCACCCCGAACTGAAATATACTGCTGCAGTCACTCTATCCCTACATGACCTCCAACAGTGATGGGATCATTAAACCACAGACCACACTCATCTCAGTGACGACAAATATAATACTGGGGTCATTCAACTTCAGAGCAACTCAAAGCCCACATTATCTCAACCAGGAATGGTAGGATAATCCTAATGTTTCATGGTCTCAACAAGCAATGGTACTACAATCAGGCTATGTGAACAATTATACCTACCTCCATTCAAGGGAACATTTTTGGGGACAACCTGCAAACAAAAATGACAGGTCTCAGTATGTACTATAATTATCCATTATAAAACCATGCGTTACATACACTAATCCAAGAAATCTGAACAATTAACAAAAGAGAATAAAGCAAATAGTGCTGGTGTTAGCATACAACCTGCGATACAATACATAACGATACTAAAATTTTAGTCACGATGATATATTGCCACTGAAGCTGCGATACGATACAAATCCTGATAAAAGGGTGGCGATATGATACGTATCACAATACTAAAATCTTTAATTCTAACACCAGCCATAAAACACCAGATCAAAACAAAACCATTTCAAAGTATTTCATCAAATTTCACCAGCGTTATTCAATGTTCATTCGGAAACGAGATAACTAGGGTTGTACATGGACTTTGTGAATGTTAATAACATGGTAGCACTCAGTCTGACAGTTCCTTTTTTTTTTTGCTTTTTGTTCTTGACGCAAGAATTTCCGAGAAAACGTTTACTTATGACTGACTGACTGAGTTTGGTTTTTACGCCGCTTTTAGCAATATTCCAGCAACATCACGGCGGGGGACACCAGAAACGTTTACTTATGAAGGGAAAGTAAGTAAGCATATATTTTAATCATCAAACAAAAGTAAGTCTTTTTTCTTGACAGATATCGCGAATTTGGCAACATACAAAGTTAAACAACGATGTATCCTGTCCCATCTGAAGTATCGTATCGGAACATACGACAATGTAAACCTTTGTGATGGTTATAAATATCCACATAAAGAATCTGATTTCCCATAACACTCATTAATCCACTGTAATGGTTTGATAATGAACAAAGGTTAAGGTCTACTCATACTTAAGCAACAGATATTGTATCACTTACATCATTGGGAAAAAGCTGGACTGGAGTAATTCCTTGAAGGTTGTTGGAGGTACTTGGAGTGTAGGGGTGCGTGAAAATCTGAACCGGACTATTTATCCGCCGTGCTTCTTCGTGTTCATACTTTCTCTTCATCGTAGAATTCCAGTGGTTTTTTATTGCATTATCCGTCCTGTAAAAGAAATGTTATCTGTGTCACACTTCTTACACTGGGGACAATGGTTACTTCTTTAGTGTGAGTGAGTATGGTCTTAAGTGGCTCTCAGCAGTATTGCAACAATATCATGTCGAGGAACAACCTAGGGCTTAACACATTGTACCCTGTGTTGATTTGATATTTTAGACATGAACATAGCATTCAATTTTGGAGATTTCTTTTCGAGGCATTTTAGAAGTTATATAGATGAAGGAAAACCAAATTCTATGGACAGTCAACTTCTTGATGAGTGCCTATCATTAAGAAGTTGACTATCCATAGAATATGGTTATCCTTAATTTTGGAGATATTTACCGTCCAGGAAGATATTTGGCTATCTCTGCCCAGCGGTTGCCAAGTTTACGATGAAGTTGGTAAATCAGTCTGTCTTCTTCTTCTGTCCACGCAGTTTTCTTGATGTCAGGATTGAGGTGGTTATGCCACCTGTGAGAAGAAAAGACACATATCACCATGACGACTCACAGACTAAAATACTTCAGCTAAGGTTATCCCCCATAACTTATATCCCAATCTCATTCAGACACAATCTTTCATTCCAATACCCGACATTTCTGCTAACTTCAATCAATAATTAGTGAAACTGTATGTACTCGTACTTCACTCCTGATTCTCATGGTGTTGACCGTGAAACAAAGATCTTGATGAAATTCAACATGATTTCCATAAGTCCATATACCAGTTTAAGAAAGGCAACCACAAAGTTTTCATATGAATACAGACATGCCAAGATCTGTTTGAATACAAAATGTACCTTTCACGACACTGTTTTCCAGTTCTGCCTTTGAGATGCTTAGAAATTAGTGTCCAACGTTTAGGGCCATACTCTCCAACCAGCTGAATAACCTTGTCATCCTCCTGTGAACACAAAACAAGCCGGGTCAACACAATACAAACCAAGTCAACACAATACAAACCAAGTCAACACAATATACACCAAGTCAACACAATACAAGCCAGTTCAACACAATACATTACAAGCCAGGTCAACACAATACATTACAAGCCAGGTCAACACAATACACACGAAGTCAACACAAGACATGCCAGGTCAACACAATACATTACAAGCCAGGTCAACACAATACACACGGTCAACACAATACAAGCCAAGTCAACACAATACAAGCCAAGTCAACACAATACACACCAAGTCAACACAATACAAGCCAAGTCAACACAAGACATGCCAGGTCAACACAATACAAGTCAGGTCAACACAATACACACCAAGTCAACACAATACACACCAAGTCAACACAATACAAGCCAGTTCAACACAATACATACCAAGTCAACACAATACAAGCCAAGTCAACACAATACAAGACAGTTCAACACAAAACATTACAAGCCAGGTCAATACAATACAAGCCAGGTCAACACAATACAATCCTGGTCAACACAATACAAGCCAGGTCAACACAATACGCACCAAGTCAACACAATACAAGCCAAGTCAACACAATACAAGCCAAGTCAACACAATACACACCAAGTCAACACAATACAAGCTAGGTCAACACAAAACAAGCCAAGTCAACACAATTCAAGCCAGGTAGACACAATACACACCAAGTCAACACAAGACAAGCCAGGTCAAAACAATACAAGCCAGTTCCACACAATACACACCAAGTCAACACAATACAAGCCAGTTCAACACAATACACACCAAGTCAACACAATACAAGCCAGTTCCACACAAAACACCAAGTCAACACAATACAAGCCAGTTCAACACAATACACACCAAGTCAACACAAAACAAGTCAGGTAAACACAATACAAGCCAGGTAGACACAATACATACCAAGTCAACACAATACAAGCTAGGTCAACACAATACACACCAAGTCAACACAAAACAAGTCAGGTAAACACAATACAAGCCAGGTAGACACAATACATACCAAGTCAACACAATACAAGCTAGGTCAACACAATACACACCATGTCAACACAATACAAGCAAGGTCAACACAATACAAGTCAGGTCAACACAATACAAGCCAGGTAGACACACTACACACCAAGTCAACACAATATACACCAAGTCAACACAATACAAGCCAGTTCAACACAATACAAGCCAGGTCAACACAATACAAGCAAGGTAATTCCATACCTATCATACAACAGTCATGCTTGTTTTTAACAATTATATATGGACCTCACACAAAGCTAACAAACTTGACAATATCTAAAGCTTAGTTTTTGCCCTGAAGCTTAAAAGAATCAAATACCTTATTTATACTTATTCTACAGGACAAATCAATATGGTATACAATATCCTGTACTAAAAGCTGCTAAATCTCCTGCTGTCATCACAACATATCATTGAGAAATATCAAAACTGCCTTCACATCACATCGAGAACAACGAAAAATTAAGAGAATATCCACATATCCTACTAAACATTTGCTAAGGGTCACACGTTCAACTAAAGACAACTACCTAAGCAAATGTTGACTAGCATAGTTTAGCCAAGGTCAGCTACACATAAAAATGACGTCACATGTGTTAGACAAGATTGAAGCCAGCAAGAAGTCTAGAATAGGCAGTTTACCATGACATTCTGTGCATGACAAAGTTGGTTTCAGTGATGACCTAACGCTGGTCATGCTAATAAAGCAAACAGTAATCCCTCAGCTGTGGTAATTAACACTGCTATTGAGGTAACGAAGCGCTTACTGACATCAGCCAGATCTGTGTCAGCTGCCAGTGTCAGAGAACAATGGAGGGGCACACCACTGGTTCAGCCCAACTAATTTGTTTACTGTGTTCCCAGGTCACAACTTTATCAAAAACAGGCAAACTCTATATATCTTTTTATAATTTGGAAAAACGTGCCAACATTTGCAGATCGTGCTTCTCAGATATCTACACCATATCTTTAGAATAATTTATCACCAGAACTCTGATCGACAATCAACAAAACACTTTTAAATTATTACTGAAAACCATTTGTTCAGCAAAGCCTACCATTGCCCATGACTAAAAGGGCTTTCGAGCATTAATTTATTTCTGGCTTCCAGCACAATATAGGACTATATTTTGATTGATTGATTGCTTGAACATAGAATAGTTCATAGTTACATATTTAGGTGTACAACATATTTGTTCCAGTGACATGTCTCACCTCCTTTGTCCAAGGTCCTTTGATGAGGTCTGGGTTGAGTACCTTATACCACCGGTACTGACACTGGATATCGGTGCGATCAGTGAAGTATTCAGATATGGCTTTCCAGTCACTGATGCCTCGTACTTCCACAAGTTTGCGGAGCTTTTCGTCCTTCAAAACATGAATTGTTCCATCAGTAACAAAGTTCTTATTAAAACAGACTGTAATAGACTCATCTACACAGTATCATGGCTGCAGCCCCTGCACAGCTTGCTCATAATAACTAAATCCCAGGGAGTGGGCAATTTTTTTATTTCAATTTGGGAGTGAGTTAGTTTAGTTTTAAGCCGCACTAAGCAATATTCCAGATATATGGTGGCGGTTTTAATTTGGGAACTATTACTGACGTTTGTTTCAGACAGCTGCAGAATTTGGCCTATGAGCTGGTCTACATATTTGTTTGGTTGTTTATTGCTTAACACCACACTCAGCAATATTCCAGCTAAAAGCTGGTGGTCAGTAAACAATCAAGTCTGGACCAGACAATCCAATGATCGATCCAAGCATCGATCTACGCAATTGGGATACGATGACATGTGTCAACCAAGTCAGTGAGCCTGACCACCCGATCCCGTTAGTCACCCCTTACGACAAGCATGGGTTGCTGAAGACCAATTCGGACCCAGACCTTCACGGGTTGGTCTAGACAAATCAATATACCAACTGTGTCAACGTGGGTGATTCTTCATCCTTTACAGTATTAGTCATGTCAGGAAGATAATCAATATACAAGTCATGTGACATTGCTTGCATTAATCAACTTATCGTAAACTTTTCGGTTATTGAATGAAATGCCCAAAGAATGTGATGTTCATGAATTGTTGGACATTTAGACATAGGTTTAAAGTAACATTACAATGCACAAAGTGACACTAAAAGCTTAAAACTGAACACATATTCCATGTCAACCATGGTAATCTTGTTGCTGTGAATCATTTCCTAGTGAGTGAGTGGGTTGGGGTTTTACACCACTTTTAGCAATATTCCAGCAATGGGATTGACAAATTGTACCCATGTGGGGAATCAAAGATTGGTCTTCACGATATAGTAAGATGTATAGTATTACATGCATGTACTTATTTTTATACATTGTCAAACTGAACATGCATTAATACAATCTATAATAACTCGAAAATCATTCTGTATAGTGTCTTGTATATTCATCATTTCATTTTCACAAAAAATGAATCATCATCATAATACAAATTACAATGAATGAACATACCTCTTCTTTTGTCCACCTGCCTTTATTGATGGCTTTCTTCCACCTCACATGAGGCAGATCATAGTCATGGTCAAGCGGCTCCGCATCATCGGTGTCCTCGTCACTGCTCAGGGACTGTCGGCTGTTCGACCTGGAAATTGGGCAGATGAGGAAATTAGAAGTCGGGATTTTAATTAAATATCTCTGATATGTGCATTGTTTTCAATACAAAGACGATTGATTTTGTATTTAAATTAGCAAGTTGTTACATGTAGCACATCAAACTGCAGGGATTTACAGGACGTGAATTTCTGCGTCCTATACACATAAAAATTGACAATGGACGCAATAAAATTGATTAGTGCATCCACAGGGACTCAGAAAAAGTCCAAATACTTCTTGTAAAATTCCAATCAAGTGACAATAAGTTAGCACTAAGTTTGCTACTAGCTGGGTTATGGTATTTTGCAATTTAATTACTGTAACAATGTGATGATCATGATACACAATATACTAACAGTATTAATAATACTATTTAAGTGTCTGGGACCCCCATTTTGTTGTCCATGACCCCCTGAAAATTAAGAGTATGAGTCCCAGGGACCCTCAAATATAGGGCTCAAGGTAAATCCCTGAAACTGATATAAAATTATCATAGGTTTGGAGGAATACAGATTCCTTTCAACCAAAGAGTTCATAGCGCTACGGCATTCGTAAGCCTATGGTAAACTATAGAGTTACGACAGGTTGTAACATTATGAACGCTTTGTGGATTGGGACCCAGGGCCTAGATTTTCGAAGCTCTCTTAGCACTAAGATAGTCGTATCTGCCAGGCATTAACATTAATTTACGACTATCTTAGCACTAAAATCTACGCCCAGGAATTTAAATATTACATATCATTTACAATGGTCAGATAAACATTCAAAACTTAGACAAATAGCATGCATGAAATAGTTCAAGCATGTCAAGAGCTTTTCTGACAATAAAATCTGAGAATTGCACCTCTAAGGCCATGACAATTGATCAATGATTTAGAGTTATTTATCAATGTCATTAGAAAATTGATCTGTCCCGATCCATATGGTACCAAAATCAAGATATTTTAACTGTTGCAGTTTCACATGCATAACTCAGTTTTGGAAATTTCTTTTTGAACTAGAAGACAATTGCACTTTGCTGGGCTCTGCCTTCATTTGAAACAGCTTCCTCATTACTAATGGAACAGAAAATACAATTCACTTCAGTAGACTAGGCAAGTAAATCACACCCACCAAAATACATTCTAACATTCTACACAGAGATGAAGAGTTAGTTTCCATCCAATATCATAAACTCCTTCGATGTTATTGAACATCCAAAATAATAAGGGCCAAAAGGCAACAGAAAGTGATTATCTTATGTGTCAATAAACAAACCAAGGCCTCCTGTTGAAGTACTGTGCATAATTCAACATGGTTCATGAAATGTTGGACGCAAATTCAATAAGTACACATGAACATCTTCTTAGAATACTTCAAATATGATCCTGAATAAATATGACGTCATTATTACGTCAAAATATTTATTCTAAAACAATGCATTAGAATATTTACATGCGCCGAATGTTACACGTAGCAAATATGCATTGTGACGTTTCAAGGTTACGTCAGGACTTCAAAGAGATTGCCGCCACAATGACAGGTACAATAATGTCGATTTCGGTGAAGTGAAACTTGCAAAATACCAATATAAAGAGTTACCACAATCAAGCTGTTGATACATGTGGCATTAATAATGTCCGAAGGAAGAGAAGGTTTGACCACGAAATGAAAACAAAGAGGCAACACCCCGCAGAGCAGGTCGTGCAATGTGTACCCGTCCACGCACCTGGCATAGTCGAGGCCAAGGTCAGCTTGGCTTATAACATGCATATGACACAAACAACCGCTTGTTTTTAAGACCTTTCATTCGAGACATGGACGATGCATTCTTCGTCGGTGGTAATCCATGTTATCCTTGAAATGCACTGACAACACTCCCCGTGCACAAAATTTCAGAAACTGACCCATGTCGTTCGCCGAAAGAATGACACACAAACCTTTCAAACTGCGCTTCAGACATCCCGATCGTCAATTTTCAGCTTCACTGGACCTTCCATAACCTTGAAGTAGCAATCGAACTTAATAATTACTTTTCAATATGTGAGCTGACAAAAAAAATCTACTAAAGCACGGCAACAAATTTCCATACGAAAATGGCGGACTGTTGTCGAATTTGCGCGCTCCACTTAATGAGATGCAGAAACTCCGCAGTCGATTGGTCCAATAAATAAAGCATCATATTTATTTTTAGAAATACGGGAAACACGGAAGTAAATTTTGTCGATATCCTGTGGTTCTTTGTGTAGAGACAGAGAGATCAGCTAAAATGAATGATGCCAAGAAAATCAGATTTTAACACAAATAATCATAATAGTGGAGAAATCACGGTACCACTGACTGGTATCACGGTGTCCACCTCTTGTCTGAGACAAAACATATTTAACAGTGACTAATTTTATGCCACCTAGGAGAAAAGTTGTTGACCTTTCTCTGATTATGAAAAAAATATCATCGTTTGTCAAAGAAACGGAGAATTTTTTTTATTTTTTTTATTTTGTGAGTGTGATGGTTCAATATTATTTTTTATTTTTTTCCACATTTTTTATTCACATCAGTTGGTACATTCACTTTTTGCAAAAGTCATATATGTTGACAGGTGACATATCTTGTTACAATCGTTTTATACGAATATCATCCAAACAAAGTTGTATAATTGCGGATCGTCTAAGCTTGAGCAATTAGGTAAGTCGGTGCTATGAGTAATATTGCTTGTTTGCTCCTGGGTTCATTTGGTTCGTTTTCATAACAGCACCGTATCCTTCTGGGTAACCAAGGGGTAGAAACATTCATACATTATTATACAGATGTCATGCCTAATACAAGCTTATACATGTTGACAGTTCACAACCCATCAGTCTTCAAACATGAGTAGATACATTCAAGTAGTACTGCACAAAGATCATAAATTTTATACATTGAAGAGTCATAACACATCAGACCATGTTGTGTAATGGGCGCCCGTTTACTCCACATTCGTCTGGCTGGTTTTTCATTTTGGCAACATATCTTTCAAAGAAGCGATGGAGGATTTTAGGGTCAATATTACATTTTTAATACAGCTTATGCATTAAATATGTATATCTTTTCCCATCCGTGGATTGACACATATTGTAATTCGCGATCTCAAAATTCTACTTTAAGCTTGTTGAAGAGTCATGACACATCGGTCCATGTTGTGAGTAGTGGTAGCCATTTACTCATACATTCATTTAGTTGGTTTTTTATTCTAGCAACATATCTCTAAACATTAAAAATTTCTTTCAAGGTAGCAGTAAAAGATTTGAAAGATAGAGATTCATTTCTAATACAACTTATGTATATATATCTTTTTCCGGCCAAAAGAATGTGGTTCACCAGTTTGAAGTTTGCGGTCCCCTGGATACCAAAGAGGATGGATTTAAGATTAAGCTGAATCTCATAACACAGATGTTGTCTCAAAAATTGTTCCAGATTGTACCAAAAATGACTAACCTGTGGACATTCAAAATATACGTGCACAATCGATTCGTTTTCATTGTTACATCTTTGACAAATACTATTGTCGATCAGCTTCATTTTAAATACATGTAATTCCTTTTTGGTGTATATAATGCGATGCAAAAATCTATATTGGAAATCTTGTAGCTTGATATCTCTACAGCATTGTTTAGGAAGACTAAATATTTCCTTCCAGTTTAAGTCAGTTAGAAAGGCAGGAGAAAGGTTGTTGACCTTTCTCTGATTATGAAAAAAATATCATCGTTTGTCAAAGAAACGGAGAATTAGACTGAAGCACCAATGGACTCCTTTCTTCATAAAACTGAAATGACATTATGTACTGGATTTAACCGCGATTTCATTAATTTTAAGGAATATGGGATTGCATATGGTTGTACGCCGCTTTTACCAAAATTCTAGTGAGTGAGTTAATTTTACGCCGCGCTCAGCAATATTTCATATTTTGGCGGCGGTCTGTAAATAATCGAGTCTGGACCAGACAATCTAATGATCATCGATCTACGTAATTGGGATACTATGACATGTGTCAGCCAAGTCAGCGAGCCTGACCACCCGATCCGTTAGTCGCCTCTTACATGCATGGGTTACTGAAGATAATTTCTAACCGGTATCTTCACGGGTACCAAACATCTAGCAATATCACACCTTTTACACACATTGTTGTGTGGAATTGATACTAGATCTTGGGTATAACGACCGAACAGTTTTACCACCAGGTTAAATTCCCACAATAGAGCATGTCCTTGTTCAATTAGCGCGCGTGTGCGTGCGTGTGTGTTTGGAAGAAGATCTCCTTGAGTGCCATTTTCAAAGTATCAAGTACAATATTGACACATTTATGAAATTGTATCTAAACGTCGCCCTCACAAACAAACGAAGTTAAATCCATTCATTTGTCAGAAGAGTTATCCATAATTTTTTCAGAAGATACTTGTATATCCATGTTAAGAAAGTTCAACGCTTTGGACAAACCTGAAACGGACCAGCAAATATGGTTATAACCGCCCATTTCTCAGGCCAAAATGGATCACTATTAGACAAAACTGACCAGTGAAATATAAGATTGAAAACAAAACCAATTTCTCAGGTCCCTGTTCAATGATACTGCTAAACATTCACACACAAACAGGTTGAAAAAAGTCATGAATTTTGTTTATCATGAATACACATTCGTAGACAAATACTCTTATACATTCACACATACATGTATATACACATAACATTGTTCCATCTAATTCTGTTTCGTACATGTTTCCCAGCGTCTCACTGACTTCATTGTCTGTCTGTGTGTTGCTTCTCCGCCTTCATAATTACACGCTCTGTCCAGATGACCCGCCCTGTACGCTGACCATAACGAGAGAATAGACTCTTGCCCTGCTCTTATTATGGCCTGGAGCTTGTTGTCACGAACAAACAGCAGCTGCACTGACAAAAGACTGGACTCGCCTTGTAACACCTTCACCTGCTTGTACAAACTAAAAGATACCCTGTACAACCTGTTGTGATAATATTACCAAGATGTCTCTCTGTTTATAGCCTGTATATATGAAGGACAGCGTTCTCTTTGTGATATGTTCGTGTTTGATTATTTTGTTCCGTAATTATTTCATTTCATAACTGCAATGTTTTGAGAATCACTGGATTTATCTGGAAGAAATAAATTCATTCATTCGTTCGTTCGTTCGTTCGTTCGTTCGTTCGTTCGTTCGTTCGTTCATTCATTCACTCACTCACTCACCCACTTACAATTAAGCTGTGTGTGGCGACCTAGAACAATAATGTGCCACTATCACATTATTACATTATTATCATTATTATCATTATTAACATAATCATTAGTTCATCATCTACAGCGACCACGTGACTGAGATGTGTGTCTGATATTTAATAAAAATTAACCAAGACAATTCCTCCATATCCTTAGACACTGCAGTAATCTGGACTCGGTGGCAAATAGCATTGACTAAAGAGGCAAGCCGGTTAAATATAATGTCCGTACTAGTGAGACCTCTCGGCAAACAAGTCGACAGATGCTTCCCCAGTTATCTTTTAGATCTCCGAATCAGCCTGTTTATCAGTCCACAGGCTCCCTCTGGGATGGTTTTGGCAAGTCTGGGTTCCCTCAGGCCAAATTTAGCGTCGCTCAGGGCTCTATTTGGATTGCATTTTATGTATCTAATGTAAGTATATATTTTGATAACTTTATTTCTGGAACTAAATGTTATGTTTTATTTCTGGAACTAAATGTAAAGCGCAGGTTTTAATTGATTGTAATATTTATGACGATCTACTTTTTAAGCCTTTTCAAAATGCATCGTACATAAATCTCTTCATTTTATAGTTTTTCTCTTCAAGACAATTTTTATGGATAATGTACAGTGACAATCTGGAATACTGTTTTCCCAAGCTTGCTTTTATATTTTACCACTAGACACGTGGAGGCTGTGATGTGATATCCAGTTTAAGGTGGAGGGGCAGTCAGAGGCTTCCACTACGAATGAAAATGTGAAGTGACATTATGATCGGGATTGACTGATTGCTTGTTGTTTAACGCCGCACTCAGCAATATTCCAGATATATGACGGCGGTCTGTAAATAATCGAGTCTGGACCAGACAATCCAGTGTTCAACATCATGAGCATCGATCTATGCAATGGGGATACGATGATATGTGTCAACCAAGTCAGCGAGTCTGACCACCCGATCCCGTTAGTCGCCTCTTACGACAAGCGTGGGTTCAATTCGAACCGGGATCTTAACGGGATTATGACCGAGACCATTTGACACAGATTAGAAATAGCTTAGCAAAGAGTAAATAAAATCTACGACCATTTCCTAAGAGATTTAGGGCCATTTTCACCTTCATCCCTTACATAATGCTTCATAGAACCTAAAACTACTAATATGACCTTTATTATACATATGCATAAATTATGCTATAAATGTGATCACTGAGTAAAACATATTCAGAATTGTTTTAGTGTGGGTTATTGTAGTTTACAAACTGAAACCTGGCATTTAGAGTGAGTGAGTTTAGTTTTACGCCGCACTCAGCAATATTCCAGCTATATGGCGGTGGTCTGTAAATAATCGAGTCTGGACCAGACAATCCAGTGATCAACAGCATGAGCATCGATCTGCGCAATTGGGAACCGATGACATGGGTCAACCAAGTCAGCGAGCCTGACCACCCGATCCCGTTAGTCGCCTCTTACGACAAGCATAGTCGCCTTTTGTGGCAAGCATGGGTTGCTGAAGACCTATTCTACTCCGGATATTCACGGGCCCCTGGCATTTAGAAGTTGGAAGGATGTGTATACATGACGCTTTTTATGAATAACAACCTTTTTCGTTCTCGACGTTACAGAGCTAATTTTTGTTACTTCATAGCAGGTGAGTGCTGAGTGAGTGAGTGTGGTTTACGCCGCTTTTAGCAATATTCCAGCAATATCACGGCGGGGACACCAGAAATGGGATCCACATTGTACCCATGTGGAGAATCAACCCGGGTCATCGGCGTGGCGAGCGAACGCTTTAACCACTAGGCTACCCCACCGCCCCCATTAAAATGAAGACAACATGGATACAGGTGCTGTGTCCGAGAGCTCAGCTGCAATCGCATTGGTATCAAATTCCGGTTATCGCTACTGCAAAAGCAAACCTGAAATGAGATCTGAGTTTAATGAGAATAGGATTTGCTGTGTTTAAATCGTAGGCATAAAAAGTCCTGTCTGAGGGCTATGCTGAGGCTGAATTATAGACACGGAATGCGGTGTCTGAAGACTTTGTTCTGTTTAAAGTGTAGACATTAAAAGCTGCCTTTGGGGCTCTGCTCTTTTTTAAACCGCATGGGAAGTTCTGTCTGAGGGCTTTGCCCTGTTTAAACTGTAGGCATTAAAGCTGCATCAGAGGCTCCTCTGTTTAAAGCGAAGGCATGGAAAGTTCTTCTTGGGGGCTCTGTTCTGCTTAGACCAAAGACTAAAAAAGAATAAACGTATGGGGGCTCTGCTCTATTTAGACTGTAGGCTTGGGAAGTTCTGTCTGAGGCCTCTGCTCTGTTTAAACCACAGGCATTAAAAGCTGTGTCTGGAACGTAGGCATTTAAAGCTGTGTCTGGAAGGCTCTGCTCTGTTTAAGGGCATTAAAAGCTGTCTCTGGAACGTAGGCATTAAAAGCTGTTCTGGAACCAAAGGCATTAAAAGCTGCATCTGGAACGGTAGGCATTAAAAGCTCTGTCTGCTGGAACCACAGGCATTAAAAGCTGTGTCTGGAACCCAGGCATTAAAAGCTGTTTGCTCTGAAACGGGTGTTTCTGGAACGTAGGCATTAAAAGCTGTGTCTGGAACGTAGGCATGATAAGCTGTGCTTAAGGGCTCATCTCAGTTAAGCTGTAGGCATGAGGGACCTTCTGTGTCTGAACCGTGTGTCTGTAACATCCGTTGTGTCTGAACCGTGGACATAACAAACTATGCCTAAGACCCCCGAACACTCTAGGGACGAACATACAGTGATCGAGCTTGTGTAGACAGGATACGAATTATGTTCGATCTGAAAAAGTAATCGTTATTTTCCAGGGTCGATTGCGAGTAACGTGTCACGAAACACGAACCACGTATCCAGCTATGACAGAGACAGGTAAACCGTAATAAAGGGAGATAACCAGTGACCACTCTGAACTCAGTATCACTCACCCGTGTCATCGAGGTCATATGTACAGCCATAGCAGGAAGTAGATATTTTTAGTTGGGAAATGCCAACACGTTTATATTAATTGTGCACAAGACTCGCAGGAGGTAACTTTTGTCTTCTTTCGTTTATTGTTACATACACGGCATACAACGTCCATTTGTCAACGTTAATGAACCTACTTGCAAGGTATTGTCTTGTGGAAACTAGACTTGTAACCACGAACTGTCAAGGGAAAGAATTCCGATGTTCCAACCACAGTGATTTGGTGGACAGGTTTAGGGTAGGTCTAAGTGTTGGAGTTACCTCTCTCTAGCCTCAACCCTGGTTTAAATCATAGCCAATTCACTTTCAAATTGCTTTCAGGTATAAACTATATATTTTTGATATATCTGCTTAAGTGGCAGGCATGATAACGTCTTTATGGATGTGAGAGAGATCGGGTTAACGCTGAAGTGATCAGTGTTGTGTTTACCTATGGCACGTATGTTGAGAGAAGTAGTGCGTACGAAACACGTATGACGTGGTCACATAAGCTCCGCCCACTCATGTTTATTTATGATTACTGTGCACTTAAGACCATTGTAGGTTTTAGGGCACAACACACGTAAGCGCTGACATGGGCGGAAAATCGCGTGGTGCAGTTCTTTGTTGAGTGTCTGTGGTGAAACAAGCTGCTGATGATGAAATATTTAGCATACGATTATATTAATTCCAGCTGACCAGCTGATCCCTGTCCGACCAAGGACGCAACTACGTACAGCGATTCACATCCCCTTACATCTATTTTCATCAGTTAGTAGGTTTGTTATAACTGGGTTTTTACATCCTCCTGAGACTTGCTTTGTATCCATAACGGTCCTACTCTTATCGGTTTGGCCCCATGGAGTTCCGGGTTAGAATTGCTAACTCATGAGTATTATAAGAGGCGACTAACGGGATTGAGTGGTAAGGCTCGCTGACTTGGATGACACATTCCATCGTATCCCAATTAAGTAGATCAATGCTTATGGTGTTGATCACTTTATTGTCTGGTCCAGGCTCGATTATTTACACTTGAAAAACAATGAAAGGTTAATCTTCTCTACCTCCCCTGTTTATTGTATTTTGCAGAAAATAAAAGACAAGAATTTATGTTCGGATCACATGGAACAAGACATCAAACATGGCAGACAACGCCGATAGTGCTCCAAAGACGGTTGTTTACCAAAAGAATCAGCATCCCCGAGATGAAGATGGTACTTGTTCGTTATTAAACATAAATGCAAGACAGATTCGTTCATTTGTTGGTTCCTCAACCACTTAGTTGAGTGCGTTCGTTTGTGGACCTCTTCCGTGGTTGGAGTGCAGAGTGCATTTTCCGGAGAGTGGGGGCCAGTTTGTTTGTTTGTTTGTTATTTGACACCACACTCAGCACTATCTTAGCTATATGGTGGTGATTTTACAGAATCAAGCCTTGGCCAGACAATCCAGTAATCAACATCAGGATGCCAGTGGTTCGATCCGCGTCATTCTAAAAGGCGCTAAAAGATATTACTTGCTGTTGCGATGGCTGACTGCGGGCATAAAATGGATTAAAAATGGCTAGTCGTCTCCGAATTGGTATGCAGTGACTGAACAGAGTATCCATGCTAAACTGCGGTATGGTATCTCATTGGGCTAGCAATATGTGGACTAGTACAAACAGACGCACGACCATTACTATAAATTCAATAACTGCAATAGTGGGTAAGTGTGGTTTTATGCTTTCAGCAATATTCCAGCAATATCACATTGTACCCTTGTGGGTAAACAAACTCTGGTCATGATGAGCGAACGCTTTAACCACTAGGCTACCATACCACCCCTCTAAGTGCCGTGAAGGTAACACCATTTTCTTCACATTTTTCATTTGTTTGTTCATTGTTTGTTTGTTTTTCCCCCTTATTTATTTATTTCTTCAGATCCTGGATGTGTGGCTTCAACCTCCCAACAGACTTACTCCTTCTCTTCAGGGGGACCTCCGATCATCAGTATTGGAGGACACGTGAATATTGGGTCTGGAAATATTCTCGGTAATTCAACATTACGTTTTGCTTTTTGCTTATGATTCTAAATATACACCTCAGCAAAATACATGCACCGCCCACTATATATAAAGGTTGTGTTACATACAGCTTACTATGAAAAGTGACCCGTGAAGATCCGGGGTAGAATAGGTCTTCAGCAACCCATTCTTGTCATAAAAGGCGACTATGCTTGTCGTAAAAGGCGACTAACGGGATCGGGTGGTCAGGCTCGCTGACTTGGTTGACACATGTCATCGGTTCCCAGTTGCGCAGATCGATGCTCATGCTGTTGATCACTGGATTGTCTGGTCCAGACTTGATTATTTACAGACCGCCGCCATATAGCTGGAATATTGCTGAGTGCGGCGTAAAACTAAACTCACTCACTACTATGAAAAGTATAATCATCTGCAACGTGTCTACTATGGATTATTTCCTGGAGTTTGTCTTTCTTGGGCATTTTATGGGACATGTGTTGCTAAAACCTGATACAACGATGTTTTTAACGATGTCATTTAATGACCATTAAAACCAGATGATTCAAACGACGCAAAAGTATTGTCCTCCAGAGGCTCCAGCGGCAGCAGAATTCTTCTGCAACAAACATACAGCAGACACATTACAGTTTTACAAAGTGAAGTCTCTTCTGTCTCTGACACGTCGTCACAATGTCGTCATTGGTATCCTACGCTACTCCTCCTCTAAAGCCAGAGATAATTCTTGCAGATTGTTCATGGGAGGATCTCTCAGTTTGATCTTGCGTCCCATAATGTCCCACACATGCTCCAGGTGATTCAGGTCTAGGATTCGAGCTGGCCATGGTATCCTTCAATTGTACTGTTTCGAAAGAACTGGCGGACAGCGCGTGCGCAGTGGGGTCGGGCATTGTCGTCCATGAACACTGCGCGTCTGGCAAGAACATGGTTGTCAAGCTGAGGCACCACATGTTGATTCAGGATTTCATTTTGCTACCGCTCTCCATTAAGATTCCCATGGATGATTAATAAATCCAGTTTACAATCAAAGAACAGCCACTCCACACCATGACGCTACCTCCACCGAAAGGTGACTTCCTCCTGGATATTTTCCTGGGCCTAGATTTTCGAAGCTCTCTTAGCGCTAAGATAGTCGTAAGTTAATGTTAATGTATGGCACTTGCGACTATCTTAGCGTTGAGAGAGCTTCCGAAATCTAGGCTGGCTGTAAGCTGTTCCTCGTGACCGCCATACCTTCGAACGACAATCAGTGACTTGCAGAACCGACTTTCGCCATGAACTCTTGTTCCAGTTCTGCCTTGCTATGCACCAATGTACACGATCTTCTTTGTGTCTAGGGGTCAATATGGGTCTTCGAACAGGACGTCTTGCCCCAAGACCAGTAGCATGGAGACGTCTTCGCACAGTGCTCGTGGAGACTCTCTGGTGTGGCCGCCATTGGTTCCGTAACTGAACACTGTTGATCAACGGGTTGCGCCTGGCCATCCTGGCCCAGCCCTGCCTTTCAGGTCTCCGGTGTCACCATGTTTTTGCAACCAGTCTGCTAATGGTTGCATGGCTGATATTCAACTGTCTACCCGACCCGACATGACATCCATGTTGTACGCATACCAGCGATTTGCCATCTTATTCCTATGGACAATTTCGGCCTCATTTTACCTCAGATATCAATCCAAAATTGAATATCGCCATCAATATTGCTTTACAGTAAACAGCTGTTTATGTCCTATGAGGGTGCCCCCTTCCTCACGTGATTCATAAAACAAGCTTTTATGCTAATACTACGCAAAAAGCTTGTCTCTACACTGGGATGAACTATGAACGACAGTCCGTCCGAAATCAATGACTTATTAATAATTAGTGGTGCGTGACTTTTGCCGATGTGTATATAATATCTGGGCCCCGATTCACAAAGCCTTCGTAACGTTACGACCTGTCGTAACTCTATTGTATATCATAGGCTAACGGATGTCCTAGTACTACGAACGCTTTGTGGATCGGGAGCCTGGTCTGGCGGCTGTAGCAGAAAAATGTCTGGTTTCAATACACAATTTGACGTATCTTCCATCCCCACTTCCCTTAAAATCCATAGAGACAAAACAATTCACGATATCATATAGATTAACGCTTAGTCTCTGAATATATATAATTTTGATAGTAACAAACAAACCCATTTAAATTGAAAAGGAGCCCCAGGGAGACCAGAGATTCAGAACCTGAGGAAATCTAGACTTGCTTCAAATAGGACCTAACCATTGCAGAGGGTGCTGTAGGGAAAGTAATGTGGATCAGGGACAGTGAGACAGACTAGATATGAGCACATGTATTTGTGGTGGTTAAAGGTTATTATTTAGGACTGACTGACTGACTGAGTTTGGTTTTACGCCGCTTTTAGCAATATTCCAGCAACATCACGGCGGGGGACACCAGAGATGGGCTTCACACAATGTACCCATGTGGGGATTCGAACCTGGGTCTTCGGCGTGACGAGCCAACGCTTTAACCACTAGGCTACCCCACCGCCCCTATTATTTAGGATAATCAGCAAAGTTTGTATGTCTGTTACAGCCCGGTCCCGGAGTGAGGTTGATCAAGCCATCCAGTACATGGTACGAACCAAGGCCTATCGCAAGCTGATTGAGAACCTGCACAAGGGACACGCATGGACGATAATAACAGGGTGTCCTGGAGAGGGCAAAACTATCCTGGCTTATTTTGTGATGAAACATTTTCAAGACGAAGACTATGATACTATAGTCATCAAAACCCCGGAACAATATTACAACATTAACGAATTTGGACCCAAGACAGCAGTGATGATGAATGACATATTTGGAGTTTTAGCCATTGATGTGAGTTCTCTGGATGATTGGCTGTATGTCCTTGACGATATTGACAAGAGAATTGAACGCAGTAGAAGTTCACATGACGATACCAAGTTCCATGTTGTCATAACCGGAAGAAACTATGTGCTCAAAGCTGCGATGCCACATATTGGGAAATTTTCATATGCGTTCCAAGAAAAGGACGTGATGGTAGACATTTCGGAGCATTTCCCCTTGAGCGATTTGGAGAAGAAAGATATTTTGAGATGCCATTTGATTCGACGATCCATTCAGCTGAACAACGAAGAAACAACGGTGGAAAGAATTTGCCAAATGCCCACTGTACATGGATTTCCCCACTGTTGTCGTCTGTTTGCAGACATCAAAGATGCCCACAGCAACCCATTAGAGTTTTTCTCAAATCCACTTGTGTTTCTAAACTTCACCACCCAGAAACTAATCCTAGATGAGCACACAAGGGCATTGTTTTATGTTCTACTGCAGAATGGAGGTTCGGTGTCGAAAGCATCACTGAAAGAAAGAGACTTAGTTGAGGCAGCAGACTCTTTAGTGGACAGCTACCTTGTTGATCGCAACAATACATTGCAGATCAGCCATCCCTCAATTCACTGGAGCATTGTCTATGTCACGGGATGCAGAGATACAGAATTTCTCATTAAGAAGTGTCCTCTCATATTTGTGAACAAATTCGTCACCGTTCGTAACACCCAACCAGCAGAGGAACAGGACTCCCCAAAATTCACCCCCAAAATTGAAATACAAGGTGACCAAGTAGACCAGCTGCTCGACAGGTTTATTGAAGAAACAGAGTTGAATAATCTTCTGATGGTTCTCTCACACCAAGTCTTTAAATGTGACAAATTTGTAGCAGAGTATATATCATGCTTGTCTCAGGAACTAGGTATACCTAAACTACTCTCCTGGAAAGACAGCCGAACCAGAAAGGCCTTTATTTATCTGTCCACAAGCAGTAAGTCTTCCAAACTTCTAAAGTTCATTGCAAGCAAACATGAACTGACTTATGATGAGCTGAAGCATGCTTTCCTAGGGTGCTGTGAGTATGGATCAACAGAGGCATTCCAGTTTGTGGCTGGCCGATACCCTGACCTAGACATGGGAGCTGTGGATGAGAACAGGAAAACAGCTTTGTCTCTGGCAGCAGGGAATGGACATAAGGACATTGTTGAGCTGCTCGTTCATAAAGTGGACATCCATGCTAAGGACACTCTTGGAATGACAGCCTTACACTGTGCTGCTGAAAAAGGTCAGATAGACGTGATTCATGTCCTGGTTCAAAATGGCACCAAAATTAATGAACCAGATGCCTGTGGTAGAACAGCTCTTCATCACGCTGCCTGGGGTGGCCATGAAGATGTTGTGTGCTGCTTGGTACGGGAGGGTGCAGATGTTAATGAGAAGGATGTCGATAAATCCACAGCTCTGCATGACGCTTGCCACAGAGGATATGCGCAGGTTGCGGGTCATCTGATCCAGTCAGGAGCTTGCATGGACATCCCAAATGACTGGAATGATACACCCTTACACACCTCTGCTTCTCATGGAAGTGTGAGCGTGGTTAGACGGTTAATTAGCTGCGGATGTGGCGTCAGCCTCAAGAACAGTAAAGGACAGACTGCAGAGGACATTGCCAGAAGGTTGGGATACAAAGAAGTTCTCGAGGAAATACTCAGGTACAAAGAAAGGCAGGCTTGCAGTAGCCTTGAGAGCAGCAGAGGGTGAATCAAAGTCCATAGGACACAAGAAGAACATTAGTGTTTTCAAAAACACATCATTATTGTTTTCTTAATTACATGTATTTGAAATGGAACATTGGACTGGGAATGGGCATGACAGCCAGGTCTCATGAAGATCCAGTTAGAATTGATCTTCAGCAACCCATGCTTGTAACAGGATTAGGTGGTCAGACTTGCTTGACTTGGTTGATACATGTCACTGTATACTAGTTACATAGCTTGAGGCTCATGATGTCAAACACTGGACTGTCTGGTCCACACTTAATTATTTACCGACCACCGCCATACAGCTGGGAAAGGGAGTAGTTTGACATTACACAATAGACAAAGGACGATTATGGCGCAAGGTAATTGTATAACCAGTATTAAGGATTACTTTATCATGTTACAGGGTACACACTCACTTCTTGTGTGTGGATCTTTGTATACCAATGAAAGACAGAGCCAATAAATCCCATGGTTCCATTACAAGTTCTTGTCATTATTCCACTCTACATAATATTTCTGTTACATATGTGCCACAATCGTTATAATGAAAATGAAATCTGTTTTTTCATACATGTACATGTTCATACAAACTGAGAATGTGTGTCCTTTCAGAGTGAGTGAGTTTAGTTTTATGCCATTTTTAGCAATATTCCAGCAATATCAAGGCGGGTGACACCATAAATGGGCTTCACACAATGTACTCATGTGGGAAATCGAACCCAGGTCTTCAGCGTGACGAGTGAATGCTTTAAGCGAATGCTACCCCACCGCCCTGTGTCCTTTCAAAAGCAAATATATTTTTGTGCTTTTTTCATCAAACTGAGTTCATTTTACTATGTGTCAAACACTATTATAACATTCTTCGAAACAAAAAAGTGTTTAAACAAATCATATTATGTTTTATATACTGCAATACATTATTGTATATTGTGGTTTTTATATGTATTTTAGTGTTTACAGATATTCCCAAATCAAAAGGAATGGCTTGTACACATTTTAGCCCAGTCCTTTTAAAGGCTGTATGTAATGTATGGCAAAAGAGAAAATTAAAAATGTCTGTCTGTCATATAATTTGATCTCAGTAGAGTGGATTTTGAAAGGCATGTTCTAAACATACCTGATAAGTTCAGGGCCAAATAATTTTCTTTGAATTTCAATTCCAATGAACACATTCCCCTCATAAATAATGAGTAAGTGAGTGAGTTTAGTTTTACGTTGCTTTTAGCAATATTCCAGCAATATCCCTGCAGGGGACACCAGAAATAGGGTTCACATTCTGTACCCATGTTGGGAATCGAACCCAGACCTCCGGCTTGATGAGCGAACACCATAACCACTAGGCTACCCCACCGCTTCATAAACAATAAAACTAAGAAGGTGTTATTTCAAATGGTTTTATTTCAGGTGGGTGTTCACAGAATATAAACCTCAAGTATTGACACCTAGAACATTTTCATCATCAGTCACAGCTGACTTACTCTGTTCAAATGCTCATAGGTAACGTGTACAACAGCTTGAAAGTTACATTTTTATTAAAAAACCAAACTACTTTAAGTCAAACAGGGAGACAAATGTCTGACACAAATCCTTACAATAAAACCTGTGGAGGTTCAATAAACAATATATACAAAACAAATAGTAGTTAGAGATCATAAATACTTGTGAGGATAATTTTTGGAGTGAAGATTAGGAACACAATTATAAAAAAATATCCCCCAAATGTTCACGATCCCAAACTTTTTCGTTAAGTTTTATTAAACAATATGCACATCACGTTTTGTTTCAATGTATTTGGGGTCAAATGTTAATTTTAAAGCACCAATTAATATGCATTCACTCTTTATGAGATTAAACTATCAATCACCATTTGTATGCTCTATCACTATGTAAACTGTATCACCCAGGGGTTAATCCATCTTAGTAGAATTATGTACACATGTATTTAATTTCAAAAATGTTTTTTTTAATGCAAGGACAGATATAAAATGTCATTTTGATGTTCCTGACAACTCACTGCTGTTAAATTTTTTTTTAAATCCATGTTGACCAGCAGTTTTTGACACATAAAATGTTAGATCATTATTGACGATGTCCACACCATGTTTCCTATTCTTGTATAATAAATATGAATAAAATGGGGAAAAATTTGATAAAGACCTTTTACACATCTTCTCATTATGAAACATGATACTATGTAGAGAAATAAATACTGCCCAAAGTGGCTGTAATTATAAGTCAGTTATAGAAGCTGCTTGGTTAACACTCATTACCATAACTTCCTACCGGGTACCCACTTAATGAAATTAATGCCTAAATTATACACACACATAGTCAGCCCCCTCCCATCCTTTTTAAAAGTCTTCATTTTTAACAATGGTATGTGTATAATTAGCATTTAATGAAATTACTCAACAAAGTATGTTTACACTCATCAAAATAGATGGCATATGATGAGAGGACATATATACATGCATATATGTAATATTACATGATGGAATGGGTTTCACACATTGTAACAATAGTAGTATGTAATTAAGGCACTAAGTTCAACATTAACCATGCTGAAACATTGAGAATGACACCCTCCATACTCAGTCAATATGTTGAGACAGCTAAATCATATGGGATAAATTCATAGATGTGAAGAAAACACACACACCAAAACTTTGGAAGAATGGAAATGAAAAAAATATAAACATCAGTTTAATTAGTAAAATGGGCTGTGCTTGAACTGTTTATATTTTGAAGGCATTTCTTTATGTACATAACAATGTATATCTTTTTGCCTACAGAGTTTCTAGCAAGTAAAGCAAGCAAGCTTGGTAGATGGTAAATGATGAATAAGTGCTACTTGACTTGGTAAATGATGAATAAGTGCTACTTGACTTGATAAATGATAAATAAGTGCTACTTGACTTGGTAAATGATAAATAAGTGCTACTTGACTTGGTAAATGATAAATAAGTGCTACTTGACTTGGTAAATGATGAATAAGTGCTACTTGACTTGGTAAATGATGAATAAGTGCTACTTGACTTGGTAAATGATGAATAAGTGCTACTTGACTTGGTAAATGATGAATAAGTGCTACTTGACTTGGTAAATGATAAATAAGTGCTACTTGACTTGGTAAATGATGAATAAGTGCTACTTGACTTGGTAAATGATGAATAAGTGCTACTTGACTTGGTAAATGATGAATAAGTGCTACCTGACTTGGTAAATGATAAATAAGTGCTACTTGACTTGGTAAATGATAAATAAGTGCTACTTGACTTGGTAAATGATAAATAAGTGCTACTTGACTTGGTAAATGATGAACAAGTGCTACTTGACTTGGTAAATGCAGACTGCAGACTGTTATACAAACTTTATCCCCACAAAACTCATCTTCCAGAGCCAAGAGTGTCCATTAAACTGTACCAAATTCTTTTATCCTAAAACAGGACATGCTAAAGAGACCATTACTGCACATATCCTTAATCTGATCAGAGAACATTTCTATGAAATCCTTAAAACATCAGTCTGTCTTAATTGGCTCAGCTCAGCAAAGACAAATATTTTCCAAATCTTAAAGTTTTCAATGAACTCATTCAAGTACCAAGTCCTTCACGTAATATGTACACAAATTTTATTGCATTCTAGCATATTTCAGTGACTGAGACGTAATGCTATTTTTAGATGACCCATGCTGAGCATTTCATCATACTGTGATATGCAGTGATACTGCATAGTCCAGGGTCCTCTTATTATTAAGGCAAAATTAAGCAGTACAAAGTTTATTTACTGTGATAGTCTGTGTCAAACCTTTTCCTTACCTCACTGACATCAGTTTCAGTGCCAGTTGCCATCTTTGTGAAGCCATTCAAAATACCGCCATATAACTGGAATATTGCTGAGTGCGGTGTTAAAGTACAAACCAAACAAAGCAACCATTCAAAATAAGATTATTCTGATTTAATATTGTGTTTTCATGGAATCGGGCACAACTCTTGCTTTACATTGGGTGGTGCCATGATGAACCCAACAAAAGTCTTGAAAGAAAAACGTTAAGTCTTTTATGAAATATTAGTGGACACCTTTGCCTCAGGAGATGCATAGGACAGACAGACTATATACACAATGAACAGAAACAAAACAATAAAAATGGTCAACAGCAAATCATTTCATTTAATAAATCTTACTCAATAAAATGTTCTTGTTAAATCAAACATGTCTAAATCTCAGATCTGTGCTATATACACAAATATCAGCCATTCAGTTATTGCTACACAGCAAAACTGATTAGAAAAACACAAGTTAACAAATATATACCTACAAAAACAAAAATGTACAATTTGCTGTCACAAAAGAATTCTTTTACCAGCAAAACAGTAAAAATTGACCAAAGGAGATCCATCCTTACAACATCATACTTTGTAACAACATGATCTCAGCAGTAAACCTTTTTTTTCCCATGAGTATATCCAGGGGTTCAAATTTTTGTTAAAAAGCCACTTGCCACAGGGCAAGTGACTTTAAGAAAGTAACTTGTCCTGACTAATTTTCCACTTGCCCTGATTTTATGACATAATTATGATGATGTAATTATGAAAGAAGAAATCAACATGGTATTTGATGTTAATGTTTACTGGACTATTTATTGTAAAGTGATAAATATAACAGATAACTCTACTTTATTATCATTGCAAAATTTAATAGCTACGTTTTGAGCAGATATGAAATTAAATCAAAGTTTATTTGCAGTTTGAAACCATAAGTGGAAATTATCTAGTAGCCCACGGACAAGTAAGATACCATTATCTGATTGCCCGAAATGAAAACTGACTTGTCCCGGGCATCGGGCGATGGGATTTTTGAACCCCTGATATCTATTCTGGCCAAGTGTCAAACTTTCATGTAGTTGCATGTTAGTTTATTAACTTGTCAATACAAGTTTTAGCTTAAACACTTTTTTCATTTCATGAAAATATGCTTCTCTGCATGAAAATAACGTAACATTTTTCAGTATTGTCATTTTTAGTGGACATCACCCATTCCACATTCACAAAACAATAACACACAAATAAACTAATCTTTAACTATAATAAAACTATAAACAATCTAAATTCCAAATATAGAATACCATTTGCATTTATTCTTTCATAGTCGATATGTATAAAGGATAGAATTGAACTTCGTACAAAGGATTTACAACCACAATATAACAAAATAATTCAAAATACTGACACAAATGTGTAACTAGCATTCTGTTAGATTTTATGTTGGGATGAATAGTTAACATGGAAAGAAATATCATAAAACCCAAACTTAACACCATCAATATTTACAGAAGACTAGAACGGCTGACTAGTGAGGATGACTAGTAGGGCAGACTAGAACGACTGACTATTGAGGATGACTAGTAGGGCAGACTAGAACGGCTGACTAGTGAGGATGACTAGTAGGGCAGACTAGAACGGCTGACTAGTGAGGATGACTAGTAGGGCAGACTAGAACGGCTGACTAGTAAGGATGACTAGTAGGGCAGACTAGAACGGCTGACTAGTGAGGATGACTAGTAGGGCAGACTAGAACGGCTGACTAGTAAGGATGACTAGTAGGGCTGTATAAAATGGCTGACTTGTCCCTTTCCGTAACCTGAAAGAAGAGCGCAAAAGCGCATAGAGAAAGAAATAGTCTAGTTGCCGAACTATTTTCAAGGGCATGTAACTCTAGTTTACTTGGAAAACAAACATGCTATCCACGCCAAGGAAATTACCTCAAAGTGTATGTTTACCATTGTTAAATACTTTCCTACTCCATGTTAATATATCCTGGTTATAATAATTCAGGAAACCAGGAGGACAATACAGTGTTTGGCGGGTATTGCGGGTGACTGGGAGCTACGGCAACAGTGTTCTGGGGGTAGGGCGTTTGACTGGAAGCCACATCCCTGGAGTGACAGGGTTTTGGGGGTGGGGCGACAGTGTTCTGGGGGTGGGGCGACAGGGGTGTTGGGTGACAGTGTCCTGGGGCTGGGGCGACAGTGCTCTATGGGCGGGGTGTATGAGAGGGAGCCACATCCTACTGACTCCCTCAATGAACAGGTAACACATCCCACATAGGTTCTTCTGGAAGCCTGGTTATGTTGTCTAGCCTCCTCTAAAGCTTGGAACAGTGTAATTCTATATATTATCCTGGAATTTCATGTGGTTTTCGACTTGTTATCTTCTTTCGGTCTGTCTTTCTAATCATAGTACTCCGATCGGTTCCGACACAAACATACTGCAAATATTATGCCCAGTATCTGAAGAAAAGAAAATAACATTTTCATCATTTTAACAGTTAGTCAAAGAATGATTCGTCACTCACCTGTCACTAAATGTTATATTGTGACACATGTGAGAGTTTAGATTTGGTACTGGTATTCACAAAGTTTCTTAAGACTCTCTTAAACCTTTCCTTTGAAGAATTCTTCAATCCTCAAATAAAGTTTCTCAAACAACCAAATGAAAGTAGTATGGTATTTCTTAAGTCACATTCACTTAGCTTCTAAGTGCATAGCACTTTTCTTGAGTTCAAGGTACCTGATGAGCTCACTTGATTTTTTTAAAATTCTTTCTTAAAGAATCCAATATGACGGCCATAGCTTATCTTAAAATCAACACTGGTCTTTTGTTGACAGTTATAGGCTAGGGGAATTCCAAACATCAGTCAACAGGGGTTCAGAATATATTTAGTCCAAACTGTATATCAAAATATACAATGGGTCATCAGTTTATTCGACTATGAAAAATCATTTATATTATACCAATATGCCTTGAATAAAGCTTACATTCATGTGAGTTGATTATTCAGTTTTTCCTTAGCTATAATGATTAAGAAAGTCGAAGTCAATATTGTACAAAATTCCTTGACTCTCAGTTCTCTTACTCAGATAATTGTTAAACTATCAATGGGTGAAGAGTTACTTCCCTTCCCTGTCTGCCCCTCCAACACAGGAATGAGGGTAGACTAAGGCTTAGTCTCTGAATATATATAATTTTGATAGTAACAAACAAGCCCATTTATATTGAAAAGGAGCCCTAGGGAGACCAGAGATTCAGAACCTGAGGAAATCTAGACTTGCTTTATTTAGGGCTTTAGCACTGCAGAGAGGGCTTGGCAGTAGGGAAATGAATGTGGTTCAGGGACTGTGAGACAGACTAGAATGAGGGCTACAGTACTTTTGATTTAAGCATTTCTAACCAATCCATTGTATCATTGTACTGATGAATTTTGTGGAACATTCACACCTTGCATTCCAAGTATAGGTGACAATTACCTGTATCAATGCAATTCCAACGCCAACACATATCAAAATGATGCTTTGACTGCCAATCCAATCTCTGATAGCTGGAAAACAGCCCTGAAACAAACAAATTACCATGTGACTCAGTATACACTGAGTGAGTGAGTGAGTTTAGTTTTATGCTGAAATCATCAATATTCCAGCTTTATGGCGGCGGTCTGTAAATAATCGAATCTGGACCAGACAACCCAGTGATCAACAGCATGAGCATCGATCTGCGCAACTGGGAATCGATGACATGTGTCAACCAAGTCAGCGAGCCTGACCACCCGATCCCATTAGTCGCCTCTTATGACAAGCATGGGTTACTGAAGATCAATATTCTAACCCAGACCTTCACAGGTTACTGAAGATCAATATTCTTACCCGATCTTCACAGGTCCAGTATACACTGTATAAGTGACTCAGGATGCTTCAGAAAGAATCGTCACGATATGGCTGAGATATTGCCGATGTGACGTTATATATTAACTCACTCACTCAGAAAGAAGATTGTGCATCCCCATTTTTCATCATAACATTAGCATATTTAAAACTTTATACAGATATATTTTGAGAAAGATAACACATCTACTGAACTAAATATTTCCTGTAGGGAGAACAGATATATCAGTGAGCCAGGGTGCTTCAGAAAGTATTGTGAATTATATTATATATTTTATATTGAGATGAAAACAGTACATCTACTACACTAAATTCTTCGGGAATTGTTTGCGCTATCACAAAGAGCACCATGCTTTTAAAAGAAGCTGATCTGACCTTGTACCATATCATGAATAATCCATTAAAATCAACCCATAACGGCAGAACATCTTCCTAGCGACATTAAAAGTAATTACAAGTCTAACCATCATGTTATCACTCACTTATAACAATATTTGAAACAGGTTTCATAGCTTCTCTAAAACTTCATTGATCTAACTATTTCCTTTACATACATGTATTTTCTTTTAAAAGCTCTAGGTGAATGGACTGTCAGCTAAGTTTGTAGAGTGACCATGATTTGAATTGTCAACTTTGTTTGTCAATTTAAGCCGCAGTTAGCAATATTCCAGCTGTATAACTGTGGTCTGCAAATATCAAGCTTGGCCCTTGTCTGTCACCCAGAGAGTGGACAGTCCAGTGCTGGACATCATAATCTATGATCGACACAACTGGGAAATGATAATTCGTCAACCAAGTCAGTGAGTCTGACCACCCATCATTGTTAGTCATCTGGTATGACAAGCATGGAATTTTTCAAGATCAATTCTAGCCCAGTACTTCTCAGGTCACTTTGTTGCTGATTAGATTGATTAAGACTTTGGAAGCTTGAGTGGTGAATAGGTTCACTTTGGAAGCTTCAGTGGTGAATAGGTTCACTTTGGAAGCTTGAGTGGTGAATAGGTTCACTTTGGAAGCTTCCAGTGGTGAATAGGTTCACTTTGGAAGCTGGCTCAGTGGCACTTTGAATTCCAGTGGTGAATAGGAAGTTCACACTCACTTGGAAGCTTCAGTGGTGAACAGGTTCACTTTGGAAGCTTCAGTGGTGAATAGGTTCACTTTGGAAGCTTCAGTGGCAAATAGGTTCACTTTGGAAGCTTCAGTGGCGAATAGGTTCACTTTGGAAGCTTCAGTGGTGAATAAGTTCACTTTGGAAGCTTCAGTGGGTGAATAAGTTCACTTTGGAAGCTTCAGTGGTGAATAGGTTCACTTTGGAAGCTTCCAGTGGTGAATTCTTTGGAAGCTTCGGTGGTGAATAGGTTCACTTTGGAAGCTTCACTTTTTGGAAGCTTCAGTGGTGAATAGGTTCACTTTGGAAGCTTCCAGTGGTGAATAGGTTCACTTTGGAAGCTTTAGTGGTGAATAGGTTCACTTTGGAAGCTTCAGTGGTGAATAAGTTCACTTTGGAAGCTTGAGTGGTGAATAGGTTCACTTTGGAAGCTTCAGTGGTGAATAGGTTCACTTTGGAAGCTTCAGTGGTGAATAGGTTCACTTTGGAAGCTTCAGTGGTGAATAGGTTCACTTTGGAAGCTTCAGTGGTGAATAGGTTCACTTTGGAAGCTTCAGTGGTGAATAGGTTCACTTTGGAAACTTCAGTGGCGAATAGGTTCACCAAATTTATCACAATGGCATGGTGGTGTAGTTATATTATAAGGGTAGATGATGACAACTCTCAATCAAACGCACCCGTTGCTGCAGCTGAGTCCTGTCCTCTGGTTGGATGGGGCTGCCAGGCTCCGCCTCCTCCCGACAAATAGTCACGTTAGCTGGCTTGTGAGACTTGACATCTTGACCCTTTCCACGACAGCATGTGTCGGGCACATACCGCTGAAGGAAATAACATTGGTAATTACAGATTTGTCACAAAGTCACACCAAAACAGAGTTTAAAGAACCTTCCAGTCTGACACTCCAGTCTGACACTCCAGATCGGGCTGTTTACACTATGAACTGTTCAATCATGCACGTCTAATTATCTCGTTCACATTTTTAGGATATTTAGGATGAACATGAACATATATCATCAGTGGCTTACCAATTATGACTCAATATTGAAATGTTGCAGAAAGCTTACAAAATTATTTTTAAATATTCTTATCTGCTGTGATTTTTACTCAATGACATATCGTTAGGAACTGTGTATGAATACATGTGAGCGAAGCGTCCCATTTATCATATAGTCCACCAGGTGGAAGCATTGTCAGATGTAGGATAAATATATTTGGCATAAATTGACAAAAAGAAGAACCTTTGGTGGCATCTGATTCAACACCCATTCGCTGTTCCTGTAGTCTGTGTAGTTGTCAGCCCCGCAGCAGTTGAACTGAAACACCGAGCACAACATCAGCTCATAAACATGCCCTCATGTGTCTCGCTGGGGGCTTGAGTTTTGGTATTGATGACTTGCATTGCCTGCATTACTTCAGATAGTCTGTCTCACAGTCCCTGAACCACATTATTTTCCCTACTGCCAAGCCCTCTCTGCAGTGCTAAAGCCCTAAATAAAGCAAGTCTAGATTCCCTCAGGTTCAGGTTCTGAATCTCTGGTCTCTCTAGGGCTCCTTTTCAATTTAAATGTGCTTGTTTGCTACCATTAGCAAATTAAAATTAATATATTATATATATTCAGAGACTAAGCATTAGTCTATACTGCAGATAACATGTCACCAAATATCAAATGATGCAAGAAATGTAACAAATGTTAATATTTGAATTACACTTTCTCAGAAAGTACAGATTCTCATACTTGTTTTTGGGAGGGCAGTGGGTGGGTGGGGGGCAGTGGGGGTGGGGAGAGTTCCACCTGGGATTCAAACCCACACTTTCAAAATGAGGCACCTAATCGCCAGATCACAAAGTCAATGATCTAACCCACACAGCCACTTAGGCTTAAAAAATGGAAGTCAGACAACTGGTAGTCTAGATCACCATGTACTTCATGCGTTCCCCTCAGACAGTTTTCTTTGCATATTCAGAACATTTTACCCACTTGAGTCAGTCTATTTGCTTTATTTTAACCATTGACAAAAACAAACATAATCCTGAAAAAACAAATGGCTTTTTAGATGACTTATTATTTGCATCTGTTTGTGTGCTGGTCAAGTGTGTAATATGCTGGAAATATGCACCACAATACATAGGTCTAACTGACAATAAACAAGTTGTAGTGACATTTTCTGCATTACTGACTATTTTTTGTAGATTTAGTAATAAACATATCAAATCATGTATCATATTGCATAAACACACAACACTGATATACCATGTTTCCTCTAATAAGTGTTGAGTCTGTAATAAGCGTCGGGCACCTAATAAGCACCGGGTACGGTTTTAATAAATGTATTCTCCCTTGATCCAAAAATATATTTATTAAGGTATGGTCCCTTTAGTCATAACTTCCAGTTCTCCACATGGCACAGTTTCATGGATAGTATGTAATCGTTGAAGCTGCAATTTACAATTAACACCAGGTGTTGGAAAAATAAGCGCCCAGGTGTTTATTAGTGGAAATATGGTACGCATTGTTGTATCAACGATAAGCAAGATGTAGTGCTATTTTGTACATTATTCACTGAAGTAAACTTCATGAATGTGTGATTCGTACAAAAACTTATTTTGACCTGGAAACAAATATCTGTATGTAAGTAGTCAGATTGCTGTTTCACGACTAGATTTGTCTCCCCCTGTTTAACACACTTTGATATGTAAGAAGTCAGTGGTCGAGTTGTCTGCCCCTGGGTAACACTCGCATCAACAAATTAGTGTATCAGAATTTTGTATATATCTGTAGGGAGTTGTCTGCCCCTGTGCAACACTCACCTCAATCTGTAGGAAGTCAATGGTAGAGTTGCCTGCCCCTGTGTAGTTCTTAACCGTGTCTATCAGCACCCCCCTGACCTTCACTTTCCAACTGAAATATGTGAAACATGACATGTGAATCAAGTAAAACTTCATAATATATAAGGCTGGTGGGGTAGCCTAGTGGTTAAAGTGATTGCTTGTCATGCTGAGGACGAGGTTCGATTCCCCACATGAGTACAATGTTTGAAGCCCATTTCTGGTGTCCTCTGCTGTGATGTTGCTGGAATATTGCTAAAGGTGGCGTAAACCACACTCACTCACTCACTCATGAGTGCATGAAGTGTGAATGACCTCGACTTTCCAATTGTAATATGTGAAACAGGACATGTGAAACTTGAGAAGAGGTAAAGCATCACAACATATGACTGACTGACTGAGTTTAGTTTTACGCCGCTTTTAGCAATATTCCAGCAATATCACGGCGGGGGACACCAGAAATGGGCTTAACACATTGTGCCCATGTGGGGAATCGAACCCGGGTCTTCGGCGTGACGAGCCAACGCTTTAACCACTAGGCTACCCCACCGCCCCACACAACATATGAGTGCATGAAGTGTGAATGTAGTTATACAGAACCTTTAACACGGGTAAAACCTTAAAAATTACCTCACTTACAATGGCGACATGCAGATGTGTGTATTGCTGCTTGTATTAGTTCTGACTTACACCAGTATTACTGTGCTTGTGCAATGAGTGAGTGAGTGAGTGAGTTTGAGAGCATGTGGGCAATCGAACCCAGGTCTTCGGCGTGACGAGCGAACGCTTTAACCACTAGGCTACCCCACCGCCCCTTATGCACTGAGATACCATGCCCCAGTGTAACATGGGTACCTGACTCAGACAATATGTACCGACTACAGACGACCAGTCTGCGTTTTCCCTTAATGCCAAACACCTGGCAAGGAGAGAAAGGTCTTTCCGAGGATTGAGCAACCAGTACCTGCTTGACAACGGTACAAGAATCTGTATGGAAACGTAACACTCAAGAAATAAAAAAAAGTTGGATTCCATTAAGTTTGTCTATAGTGAATAGTCTTTCACTCTCCGAGAAGATGCACTCTCAACCATGTCATGCTGCAGATCACGACATTATGAATACCATGGCTTGTGAAACATCAGACGCGTAGCAAGTCAATTTTTACGTGTAAGCCTGATAGGTTGCAAAGCTATATATTCAGATAGTATTGAGGGCTTTGCCCAACCTTTATAGCAACAATCATGTGTAAGCCCGTTTGTTGTTTTTTTTATAAAGGTAGCTACAACCCTGAACATGTAAAACATTATCCATGTTGCACAGAATTAATTATTTATCTCAAAATAGAAACCAAAATTTCACAAATGAATTTTACCTGATGAATCAGTTACTGATCTGGGGTAATGCCAGATTTGTATTACTGCAGGAATGGCATTCATTACATTCCTGGGGTGACGGACTAGCCCAGTGGTTAAGGTGTTTAATATTTAATAAGCTGTTTGGAAGGATGTCAGATCCTGTGATTTGTTATAAACATAAGCCATATGTATACATGTAATCATGTTTGTTAGGCATCATAGTTACGGGTAATATATTCAGTTTGGTTGAAGTATAGTGCAGGGAATATTCTTATGACAAAAATCCAAGATGGCTGCCACAACTGATGAATATGTTTGTCACAGAAATGTGCACGACAGAGTCTATACTCACATATCCCTTCTCCACCGCGACGTAGATGCCGGCTCCGAGCTCACCACACATCACTACCGCCATACAGCCGATGTACTGCAACAAGAACGTCCATGTTACCAGGATGTAGGTTTGGGGAAGAATCAGTGGAATATAGTTAACAGTCAGGTGAAACAGAGGTGTATGAGTGAGTGAGTGAGTGAGTGAGTGAGTGAGTAGGGAGTTACTCCTCTTGAAATACAACATCCACTGACACCCTGTAACAGTGTCCCCCTTTGTATTGCAACTATCACCTGTATTAAAACTATACTATTCAAAGACCGCCTCCATGGTGTAGTGGTTAGAGCGTCTGCCCAGAGAGTGGAGGGTCAAGGGTTTGATCCCCGGCCGTGTCATACCAAAAGACGTTAAACCATGGTACTTGTTGGTCTCTGACTGGCTCTCGGCATTAATGGGTACAACAAGGACTGGTTGGCTCGGAGTCAGTATAATGTGTCTGAGAGGGGTATTCATGCTTCACTGCAGCATGGTATCTCAGTGGGCTAGCACTATACAAGCAGCTTAAGTCTGGACTAGTACAAGCAGCCAAACACACATGTGCATGCACGTCATCATGTGAGCGAAAGATTCTTGATTGCGACGTTAAACCCCATTTCACCTCACCTCACCTATACTATTCAAAAGAAAATAAAGAACACCCCTCTTTCATGACAAAATTGTGTGTTCTTAACTTCTCTTGAGTAATATGTCACCTCACTATAGGAGGAGAGGCTGAAAGTGATATGTAAATGGACAGGCACAGTGCTGAAAAGCCAAGTCACAGAACTGAAATAGCAGATCCTAGCACAGATAAGGGACTGAACTCTGCACTAACAAGCTCATGTGGTTACCCATGCATTGGGCACAACAGAAAGCCTGCTCTGTGCTTTTGTTTGTTGTTAAAGGCCACACTCAACAATATTCCAGCTATACAGTGACCACCCAATCCACTTGCAACTTGGATCCAATCTACAAAGCAATCTAAGGGATACAGTCATCGTAACTCCCACACTCTAACAGACACTTTGTTGGTCATAGCACTACAATGATGTTACCTTCCATACTCTAACACAGCATTACAACAGTCGTCGTTTTGAGGTGGTCATTACTCTAATATACACTTTCGGGCGTGGGTAGCCTAGTGGTTAAAGCGTCGCTTGTCATAGAAGATCTGGGTTCGATTCTACATGGTGCTCAATACTCCCATACTCTAATATACACTCGGGCGGGGGTAGCCTAGTGGTTAAAGCGGTCACTCGTCACATAGAAGATCTGGGATTGATTCCCCACATGGTGCTCATTACTCCCATACTCTAATATAAACTCAGGGCTGTGGGGTAGCCTAGTGGTTAAAGCGGTCACTTCGTCACATAGAAGATCTGGGTTTGATTCCCACATGGTGCCCATTACTTCCATACTCTAATATATACTTTCGAGCGATTGGGGTAGCCCAGTGGTTAAAAGCGGTCGCTCGTCACATAGAAGATCTGGGTTCGATTCCCCACATGGTGCTCAATACTCCCATACTCTAATATACACTCGGGCCGGTGGGTAGCCTAGTGGTTAAAGCGGTCGCTCGTCACATAGAAGATCTGGGTTTGATTCCCCACATGGTGCTCATTACTCCCATACTCTAATATACACTCGGGGCGGTGGGGTAGCTGAGTGGTTAAAGCGGTCACTCGTCACATAGAAGATCTGGGTTTGATTCCCCACATGGTGCTCATTACTCCCATACTCTAATATACACTCGGGGCGGTGGGGTAGCCCAGTGGTCAAAGCGGTCGCTCGTCATAGAAGATCTGGGTTTGATTCCCCACATGGAGCTCATTACTCCCATACTCTAATATAAACTCAGGCGGGGGTAGCCCAGTGGTTAAAGCGGTCGCTTCGTCATAGAAGATCTGGGTTTGATTCCCACATGGTGCTCATTACTCCCATACTTTAATATACACTCAGGGCGATGGGGTAGCCTAGTGTGTTAAAGCGGTCAAATTTCGTCACATAGAAGATCTGGGTTTGATTCCCCACATGGTGCTCATTACTCCCATACTCTAATATACACTCGGGGCGGTGGGGTAGCTGAGTGGTTAAAGCGGTCACTCGTCACATAGAAGATCTGGGTTTGATTCCCCACATGGTGCTCATTACTCCCATACTCTAATATACACTCGGTGATTGGGGTAGCCCAGTGGTCAAAGCGGTCACTCGTCATAGAAGATCTGGGTTTGATTCCCCACATGGAGCTCATTACTCCCATACTCTAATATACACTCGGGACGGTGGGGTAGCCTAGTGGTTAAAGCGGTAGCTCGTCACATAGAAGATCTGGGTTTGATTCCCCACATGGTGCTCATTACTCCCATACTTTAATATACACTCGGGGCGGTGGGGTAGCCTAGTGGTTAAAGCGGTCGCTCGTCACGTAGAAGATCCAGGTTTGATTCCCCACATGGTGCTCATTACTCCCATACTCTAATATACACTCGGGTGATTGGGGTAGCCCAGTGGTTAAAGCGGTCGTTTCGTCATAGAAGATCTGGGTTTGATTCCCCACATGGTGCTCATTACTCCCATACTCTAATATACACTTTCGGCGGGGGTAGCCTGAGTGGTTAAAGCGGTATTCGTCACATAGAAGATCCAGGTTTGATTCCCCACATGGTGCTCATTACTCCCATACTTTAATATACACTCGGGGCGGTGGGGTAGCCTAGTGGTTAAAGCGGTCGCTCGTCACGTAGAAGATCCAGGTTCGATTCCCCACATGGTGCTCATTACTCCCATACTCTAATATACACTCGGGGCGGTGGGGTAGCCCAGTGGTTAAAGCGGTCGCTCGTCATAGAAGATCTGGGTTCGATTCCCCACATGGGTACAAGGTGTGAAGCCCATATCTGGTGTCCCTTGCTGTGATATTGCTGGAATAGTGCTAAAAGCCGCGTAAAACCAAACTCACCCCCATACTCTATTATACACTTACAACAATTGTACAGCTATCATGATCGTAACTATCAAAACTTTTACCCTGGATCTTATGCAAAAAAGGTGGGACCCCCAAGTAGGAAATAATAGACTTAATGAATTAAAACCACCAATTGGTTACACCTACTTGGGTTGTCAGTCAAGGATTCCATTCGTAGTAACTTCCACACTTAACAATGACTTACAACAGTGGTAGCACCAGAATTGCCTCATTAACAGGTCATTCACAATTCTTTCCAGTGTTTATGAGTAGATACCTGCAATAAAGATATTTTCTTAATACAAGCGACTAAACCGTTTGATAAACTTACAATTCCCAGCATGAAGGCACTTTCCCGCACAGCACCACAACAGCCACAGAATCCCACAAAGAACACAAACGATCCCACGGCTATCATAATATACGCTGCCGTGTACAAGAATCCTACGGGCAGCCCGACATCAATGGACTTGAGGAACTTATCCACTTCATCTGACACCAAGACAAATATTCCTGTCCCAAGAATAGCGCCTCCTGAGACCTGCAAAACACAAATTAGACATTGATATCATCCCGTTGTATGTATATTGACAATGTAAATACAGTACTTAATGTTAGTTACGTTCACAATGCGTACAATTCAGAGTTGCCATTACCAAAATATACCAGAGATTCACAAACTCTAAATCCATATATAAGGTTGTTTGGTGTAGTTTAACACTGCAGTCAACAACATTCCAGCTGTATGACAGCAGTCTGGACCAGACAAACCAGTGACTGGCATCATGAGCACCGATTAACACAAGTGGGATACAATGACATAAATCAGCAAAGTCAGTGAGTTTGACCATTGGATTTATTCACTTTTCTCTTATAACAAACATACCCAGAGTGAGTGAGTGAGTTTAGTTTTATGCCGTCTGTAATTAATCGAGTCTGGACCAGACAATCCAGTGATCAACAGCATGAGCATCCATCTACGCAATTGGGAACTGATGACATGCATCAACCAAGTCAGCGAGCCTGACCACCCGATCCTGTTAGTTGCCTTTTATGACAAGCATGGGTTGCTGAAGATCAGTTCTAAAACGATCTTCATGGGTCAGAGTGATTAAGTGAGCTAAAACTTTATGTCACATGGGCAGTATTGCAACCATTATCCCAGACATTTGTACTCACAATCTTGACGGGACCAGTATGAAAATATACTATTCTGATGGAAACATTGAAAATTATATGCATTACTTTATCTGCTTAATCAGGATTATTTGTGTAGTTTATATCAGGAAGGTAATTGAACAAAAAAAGATAATTTAAATGTTTATTTCACCTGAAGTGCTAACTGGTACATAATATCTAATGAAAGAGAAACAAGTTTCTTCAATTAATTATGTTATTTTGGCCACCAGCCTTACTTCTGAAAAGAGAAAAAATGATCATTACATATGAGCTTCTTTTATCAATCCAACCTCATCGACCCGAATTACCAGGCTCCCACAGTGAGTGAGTGAGTGAGTATGGGTTTACACCGCTTTTAGCAATATTCCAGCAAAATGACAGCGGGGGACACCAGAAATGGGCTTCACACATTGTACCCATGTAGGGAATCGAACACGGGCCTTTGGCGTGACGAGCCAATGCTTTAACCACTAGGCTAACACACACACACACACCCCACCCCCCACACCCCCAAGCTCCCACAGAACTCATCTAGATTAAAATTCTTAACTAATGACATCATGGTCACCGAGAGAGATGCTGCTTTGTAGGCCTGGTCTGTTCCCGCCATGCCATTTGGATGAATGTTGTTTTAGTCACAGATTAATGGTGAGCTGACTACAGTCTGTTTCAACTGAACACCACACACTGGCGAACTCTGATTACTCAGCCAGTCGGTAGTACATGTATTATGATTATTACTGAACTATAAAAGAATTTGAATTTGAAGAGCGAAAAATGTCTAATCTGAATAATAATTACCATCGCTTCATATAATTGGCTGGCTGAATTATCTGTAAGTACAGCTGTACACAAGCACCTCTGCTTGGCTGTGTGGACTGTTCAGGTGCAAGACTCACATTATGAAGCAATAATCTGAAAGATCTGTTTTCCACCATGGGAGGACATCTCATTGTGAACTACTTGAGAGAGTCTGATCTGTATCATAAATTGTAACTATGTAATGTGTGAGACAAATTGCTTGGTTTTAAATTGGTGCTTTGACATTTTCTCTTTGTGGATAATTGAGTATTGAAGAAGCATGTATTTTGAGAAACCCATTTGAACTTTATAATTAAAATGTGTTTGCATACTTGTTCTTGTCGCTACAGGCTGAAACATTGCCGATGCGACGTAAACCTTCAACTCACTCACTCACTCACCCACCCCTAGCAAAGTCAGCAGCTTAGTAATATGAACAAATAGGCCATAACATAATCCCATCGTTTGGGAGATTATCACAACTGATTGATTGTTGTATCTGGACAATTATTCTCATCAGTACGATCTAGAATGTGAGGCTTTCCAGATTATCAGGGTCTGGATTAACAAGGTTTCACTATATAGAGATAACCCTTACACATGCTCTATACCCTTGGCATAGTGCTGCGTATATCAACTTTGGGAGTGCCGGAGTGAAGCCATCCATGAAGATCCGGGTTAGAATTGGTCTTCAGTAACCCATGCTTGTCGTGAGAGGCGACTAACAGGATCGGGTGGTCAGGCTCACTGAACTTGGTTGATACATGTCATCATATCCTAATTGTGTAGATCGATGCTCATGATGTTGATCACTAGACTGTCTGGTACAGACTCGATTATTTACAGACCACTGCATATTGCTGGAATATTGCTGGAATATTGCTGAGTGCAGCGTTAAACAGCAAACCAACCACACCCTTGGCAGGGACATTAGAGTTCACTACAGTGGCAGATCTTGGTAGTGGAACATTACCAGATATCAGAAAACATGAACATGTTGATACAAAATGACCATCTGGTGTTTATTCCACTTCAAAGTGTTTATTCCACTTCAAAGCAAACTACTAACTTCTGTGTCTTCTCACTGAGTGGCAATTCAAGAAGTGTCAGTGTTTACGTTCACAGATTTCCAAATATCCAATGCCATTACAGAGAGTCATTTGATGGTAGAGACTATCTGGCTTGTGTCTGGGTAGAGACTATCTGGATTGTGTCTGTGTAGAGATTATCTGGCTTGTGTCTGGGTAGATACTATCTGGCTTGTGTCTGGGTAGAGACTATCTGGCTTGTGTCTGGGTGTGTCTGCAGAGACTATCTGGCTTGTGTCTGGGTAGAGACTATCTGGCTTGTGTCTGGGTAGAGACTATCTGGATTGTGTCTGGGTAGAGACTATCTGGCTTGTGTCTGGGTAGAGACTATCTGGCTTGTGTCTGGGTAGAGACTATCTGGCTTGTGTCTGGGTAGATACTATCTGGCTTGTGTCTGGGTAGATACTATCTGGCTTGTGTCTGGGTAGAGACTATCTGGCTTGTGTATTGGTAGAGACTTTCTGGCTTGTGTCTAGATGGACTGTTACATCGGTACAAAGTACACCTCTACACACGCTGTGGGCACTGTCAGCAGCACAATGACATGGACAATGACAATGCCAGCCATTATGTGTCATTATCATAAATAGCCCCAGGACCTATATGGTCTTCCTTCAGAGTGGAGGGGCAGTCACGCCAAAGACCCGATTCGATTCCCCACATGGGTACAAAGTATAAAGCCCATTTCTGGGGTCCCCCGCCATGATATTGCTGGAATATTGCTAAAAGAGGCATAAAACTAAACTCACTCACTCTGTAATCCGTAATAAGATGGTTGTGAATATTGTTTTGAAAATAAAATTAAAATCAAGCTTTCGTGACAAATTTGTTCAGTGTATTCATCATCATAGAAGGAAGACATTATTGTAACCCATGTGCATTTGGCCATGGGAGCCATGCTTGTTTACGCTCTTCAGTGGAGTACAGAAAGTATGTAATCTGGACTACCAGTTGTCACTGACTTCCAGTTTCTAGTGTGGCTGAGGTTAGATCACTGACCTTGTATGAATTAGGTGCTCACTCTGAGAGTGCTCATTCAAATTCCAGATGGGACAAAAAAAAGTACAAGAATTTGAACTTTTCCGACAAAGTTTTAATCCTATATATAACATTTACACCCTAGTGATCAACACCATTAGGAAAGTAGTTTCATTCAGTAATATTACAATACATACTGTATCTGTATCTCAAAGTATTACCCCTGTTCAGTGTGCAGCCAAATTAAATGCTCTATATTATTTGGGAGTATACTAGGGATGGGTATTGCAGAGAATTTTCATATTGCCATGCGAAAGCATATACTGTGATATGCATTGCAATATATTGCAAGAAGTATTTTTAAACAAGAAACTACTTATAATCGAAGTTAATGCATGATTTATAAAGCAAGGACACAATAAAATCACTATGCTAGATTAAGCTTTAATAAAAACTTTCAATCATGACAAAATAAAAATGTAAATAATATTTGGCACAAATGAAACAAGGAAATATCCGAAGATTTCCAAGTGTTACAAAGTTTTCCAAATTGATGTCAAAATACCAGTTTCCGATCAACGTATCGCAATATGTATCGTTTTCATGTCTGAACCTGTAAATACCGGTAAACCGGTTATATTGCGCAACCCTAGAGTATACAACCTTCCTTCTACAGGCTGGACATTTTTTCATCTAAATTAACATGTCATCCAACCTTGTTCCCAGTTGCTGATGAAAAGGATCTTTTCAGTTTAAAGTTAATCTTACCCAGAAGATGAAGTTGAAGATGATGAGCATGTATCTGGAGCATGTTGCACAGCCTCCCTCCGCCATCTTGAAATATCACTCGGCTTTAGTCACTCGGGCTGAAACATTCGGATGACAGTGAAAATGCTGTGTATCACTACTAAAAAACAATATAGGTTTGCATTTTCCTCACTTACCCTATTAGGGCATATTTGAATAAGTTTGCTGAGAGTCGGGCTGTTTTGTTTTATTACACAATATGTCCTTTGTCAGTATTTAAAAGTAAGAGGCAAAATAGGAAAAAAACAACATGTGACAGTCATTGACCTAATGGTACAGTGTCCTAATAGATTTTTTTTATGAATTTTTTTTTTTTTTTTAAATGTTGATGATTTTGTCTCTGTAAAACACAGAATTATAAGAATTATTTGGCTTTTGTGATACTTTGGGTGGGTCATTTGTTATGCAAGAAATGTATTTATTAATAACAAGGAACATAAAAAGCTGAAAACATATTTCATAATTCAACAATAACGCATTGTCTTTACATGTTCAAGACAGAAATCACTTTGAAATAAGCTACTGAACCAAAGTGCAAAGACAATGATTTCCCAAAATATCACATTCCAAGTCAATCCGTTTACAGATACGTCTGAGCTCCCCTAAAAAAATATAATTTACTTTATTATCAAATAATCACAATTATCTCATTTGCTTGTAATAGTGACTTGTAAAAGTCATGAAAAGATCCAGAGAACCAATTACTGGCAGAGATCCCATGAGAGTGCTCATTCCGTCCTCCCTGATAATTCAGACACTTAACTTGTAACCTGAATCAGTCCTTGAACAAGGTGTTATCAATTACCCAGTGTGCACCTCAATTATTTCAGAAACAAAGATCTGCCCTCAGAATATTATAACTATAAGTACCAATTTGTAAATCATCTGGTTTGGAAATAAATGGTAAAATTTGTACAAAAGCATTTCAGTAAGAACTGGTAAATGTGTTGCACTGAGTTAATTAGGGCTCTTGTCTTAGTACACAGTGTATCCAAAATTGCTCTTATGCTGAAATGGTAGACTGCTGGAAATGAGATATCCACAATGGCTGGCGAGTATTGAGTATGGTGTGGTCACAGAACATCTCTAGCTACAGGATGGCATGGGTGAGTCAGTGAGTATTGTTTTATGCCACTTTTAGCAATATTCCAGCAATATCACAGCAAGGGACACCAGAACCGGGCTTCACGCATTGTACCCATGTGAGGAATCGAACCCGGGTTAATGGGTACATTGTACAATGTGTGAAGCCCATTTCTGCTGTGCCCCACTATGATATTGCTGGAATATTGCTAAACGAGATGCAAAACCATACTCACTCACTCATAATATCAATCACTGGATTGTCGTTTCTGTTTTATGTGAGTACAATACTTCTGACTGTGGAGTGACAATCACACAGATACACACATACACACAGACTATTATCCCTTACAATAGTTGAGCTATATACAGTTTTCCACATCACTAAGTTAAAATCCTTGCAATGTTATTTGAATATGTTCTTCCTGAGTAACAAATATATCACAGAAGATTATCTTGCTGAATGCTGTCTGAAGACACCATGCCTGTCTTAGGTGGACTCAGTCTAGCGTAATAGCCAAATACCCATCATTCTACAGACTCAGATTGTCTACTTTTTAAACAAGAAACACTTCCTGAAAGTCTGTTTACCTTCTCATGAGCCAGCACTTGTCAAAATGACCATCTTCATGTGACACCCAAAACAGACTAAACACAACTTAATCAAAACTATTTTCAAACTAGACAAATAACTTTCTCCATGAGAATTAGACTCAAGATAAAAGTAATGGACATTTTCTTGGAGTGCAGTGGAATAGCCCAGCAGGCCATGTGTTTGCCAAGAATATATGTATTCAGGGCTGCCAATGCATATGGAAAATGCTGAGTCCTCTCTTTGGGACAAAAATATTGCACAGAGTAGAATCTGTGAATTTTCAACCCCACATCTTCAACAAGAGATGAATTATCTGTTTGACTGACATTTTAAAAGTTCATTCTTTCTTGACAACGCTATAAGAATCTATACCAAACTGTCACATAATGATATAATAAATAGGTTGTCATCCATATAGTATCCTGCCTTTCTTAAGAGACAAATGGTTCAAACATTTCGAATTCAGTGATGAATAAATAACATCATAAAAAAATGTTAGAGTGGTGTAAATATTATAACACACACACACACCTTTACCCCTTCCTTTGATATGAAAGACGATCAGGCCTTTACTACTGCTGAATCCAAGATGTTTGGTTTCAAGCAATGACAAAAGAAAATGATGAACTTCAGGATATGATCACCAGTGATGGCCTTCATAATATGATCACAAGTGATGACCTTCAGAATATGATCACAAATTATGACCCTCAGAATATGATCACCAATGATGACCTTCAGAATATGATCACCAAAAATGATCTTCTGAATATGATCACCAATATGAAGAAGAATCATTTAGTGGGATAAACACTAGACTTGATTTCAAAATGTACTTAACACATAAAAACTCTGGTCTACAGAAAATGTTTGGGTCTACCATAGATAATTTTGGCTCTTGAGACCACCCATGTTATCCAAGGGTAAGCTGCGAATAACTGCAAAATTGCTGATATTAACTCACTTATCCAAGGGAAAGTAAGTAACAGAAAGGATGAGTAATGACAGTTGTTGAACTGTCCATTGATATTCTGTCCATTGTACATCCATCCACAGAAGAATATTGTAACATCTTGAAGCAGCATCCAAAATATACTCAGCCTCTAACACAAATCCCCTCCCTCTCCACAATAAACCCAAACAATAATGATGCTTCCCTAACAACAAAGTTTTGACTGTATAAAAATACACCATTGATTTCTTGGCAAGAAACACACAACAGAAACACAAACATAGTCGCTGTTGGCCTCACAGGAGCCAGCCGACCTGTTCACACGGTACCTGGCAGCTGGCACCTTCCCCCGACAAAGTAACAGTTAATCCAAAGGAGGGAGAGTGGTGTGTCTATAATTACAGCGCAATGTCGTCAACAGGTACACTGTGTAAACAGCAATGGCAGTCGTGTACTGGAGCCAGGAGAATCAAGGTGGCTGGGTGTAATTCAGACCTGCCCCACCTGGATCACCTGATTACATCCAACATAAACCAGACATGCACATGTACAGGTAGTTCACCACTGACGAAGCTGCTGCTCTGTTAGTATCACACAGAGCATCTCGCTTGACACGCCCTCCTGTGGCCCTGGTACACAGATAGAGCCCTGTAGTATCTCACCTGCCCTACCCAACTTCCTGTGGCCCAGTTACACAGATAGAGCCCTGTAGTATCTCACCTGCCCTACCCAACTTCCTGTGGCCCTGGTACACAGATAGAGCCCTGTAGTATCTCACCTGCCCCACCTGACCTACCCATCTTCCTGTGGCCCTGTTACACAGATAGAGCCCTGTAGTATCTCACCTGCCCCCTCCTGACCTACCCATCTTCCTGTGGCCCAGTTACACAGATAGAGCCCTGTAGTATCTCACCTGGCCCCTCCTGACCTACCCATCTTCCTGTGGCCCAGTTACACAGATAGAGCCCTGTAGTATCTCACCTGCCCCCTGACCTACCCATCCTCCTGTACCCCTGTTACACAGATAGAGCCCTGTAGTATCTCACCTGGCCCCACCTGACCTACCCATCTTCCTGTGGCCCAGTTACACAGATAGAGCCCTGTAGTATCTCACCTGCCCCCTCCTGACCTACCCATCTTCCTGTGGCCCTGTTACACAGATAGAGCCCTGTAGTATCTCACCTGCCCCCACCTGACCTACCCATCTTCCTGTGGCCCTGTTACACAGATAGAGCCCTGTAGTATCTCACCTGCCCCCTCCTGACCTACCCATCTTCCTGTGGCCCTGTTACACAGATAGAGCCCTGTAGTATCTCACCTGGTCCCACCTGCCCTACCCATCTTCCTGTACCCCTGTTACACAGATAGAGCCCTGCAGTATCTCACCTGGCCCCACCTGCCCTACCCATCTTCCTGTGGCCCAGTTACACAGATAGAGCCCTGTAGTGTCTCACCTGCCCCCCTCCTGACCTACCCATCTTCCTGTGGCCCTGGTACACAGATAGAGCCCTGTAGTATCTCACCTGCCCCCTCCTGACCTACCCATCTTCCTGTGGCCCAGTTACACAGATAGAGCCCTGTAGTATCTCACCTGCCCCCTCCTGCCCTACCCATCTTCCTGTGGCCCTGTTACACAGATAGAGCCCTGTAGTATCTCACCTGCCCTACCCATCTTCCTGTGGCCCTGTTACACAGATAGAGCCCTGTAGTATCTCACCTGCCCCCTCCTGACCTACCCATCTTCCTGTGGCCCTGTTACACAGATAGAGCCCTGCAGTATCTCACCTGCCCCCTCCTGACCTACCCATCTTCCTGTGGCCCTGTTACACAGATAGAGCCCTGCAGTATCTCACCTGCCCCCTCCTGACCTACCCATCTTCCTGTGGCCCTAATGCTCACTCAGTATAAAAGGATTCGTATTTTCTTAATCAAGTGGGTTATTTTTACCAAAATATGACTGCTAAACAAACTTGGCCAAATGAATTAAGACTCCCATTTCCAGAAAGCTGTACCCTCACTTATAGTCTGTTTGCAGTGAAAACGTACCGATGAATTTCACTTTAAACAAAAAACTAAATCAAATAAAGTGAAATTAAGATTGCGAATCCTCATAATTTTACCTTGCCAATTAAACATATAAATTTCAGAATGTTATTCAACAGGATAAAAGTTGTTTAACAGACGATCATAGATTCAAATCGCTATTATTGGTTTGTAAACGCAGTAATTAGAACAGTGATACAAATGCACGTGCAGTACGTGATGAGTGTTATCTTAGACCAACCCTACTTCTTCTCAGTGTTTCATTTAATGTGCATACCCCCTTGTAATACAAACCAACAATAGCGATTTGAAACTATGATCGTTTGTTAAACAACTTTTATCATAAGTTGAATAAAATTCTGAGATTTAAATGTTCAATTGGCAAG